ACAATGTAATTGCAATCGACTGTTGGATGGACCAGCAGATTTAACCGTTCATAGGAGGAGGCTCTTCTCTATACCGTTTGTCGCGCAATAGTAAACTTACTCGCATGGTCTGTTTTGAGATTCTAGGTAATGGGGTGCCCTGGTTACCCTTTAAATCATAATGTGGGATGCCGCCTTCTATAGGTTTTGGTTTAGAAGCGAGGGAATACTGAGCAACTTACTGTAGATGATAACTCTTAGCTGGTTTTGTTACCGGCCTAAATGCTGATCCGTAAGTGATTGGGAAGGCTTTTTGTGCTCTATTTATGACAACCTCATTTTCACTATCCTCTTTGCGCTCGCTTTTAGCCGGGTTTTACGGCACTACACATTGCTGCACATTACGGTTCTACGAATGTTGGTGCTCTTCTTATTCAACGCGGTGCAGATGTCAATTTCCAAGCCAAGGTAATCTATTTACTATTCCCTTTCTACCTATCCTACAGTTGGGCAAACTACTCATTAGTCAGCTTTTAGCAAGTATAATCCTAACATTTCACATTTACATATTGTTTAGGAGTTTCTACTCGTAATTGTTTATCTTTCCAATCATTTTGAGGAGCTCTTACAAAGCAACTCATTTTCTAACCCCACCTTGATCCTTTTTATGCCCAGCTACTAGTGTCTGCTCACTTTAAGAGCTGCACTTATTGTCTACGCACATTGCTAAGCTTTTTTTTACAGATCATCTAATCTGCCCATAGAGCAGAGCAGGCACTCTCAGGACTCAATTATCGGTTTGTTGTTAATGCACTCCTGGGCACTTTCACATTAGCCTCTCTTGTTAATTCACCTGTCAATTTTGCGATCATTTACTAGAGGAAACCAGCCATGCATGCGAGCAGTTCCTAATCTATTTCCGCCTCATATAGAGGTCTGCATTTCCTGATCAGAATACCCTAAGCGTTAATCGGTGCTTCATTCGAATTTTTTTTTCATGTGCCCTCACATAAGATATCGTCCGCTAGTAACAGGTTTTTCATTACATAAACACTAAAACATATCGACTCTACCAACTACTCATTAGTAAAATATCATCACACTTACCCAACCTGTTCGAGTCGAATCTATCTAAACCAGGAAATTCATTAAAAATAAGCCCCTGTGAATATTGCAGCGCCAAGCCTTGGATGGCAAACTACCAGTGGAGTGTTTCTTGTGGTAGGATGGCAATACTACACTACTTACTTTTGTTTGTGATCGCATACGGCCTTTTTAATTTTCTCGAATTGATTCCTCAATGCGTTTATAGGCGGATTCTTAATTCGAAATAATTATTTACCCTCATTAGCTTGCAGTCGCCTGACATCACGGTGAATCCAAACGCTACCAAACCAGTCTTGTTTTGAATTTGTCCCCTTGCATTTATGCACTTATAAGTGCTAGTGCCACTACCACTACTTAAACATCCATGGTCTCCATCTTTTGTGATCCTACCCATTGTCCTGTGCTACATTCTTAAGCTGCAACCATTTAAACCTTGACTTCAAATGTCGACACTGTCGGTACTTTAACCACTGCCATGTCTCTAGTAAACCCATCAAATGCGTGTATGAGTGTATCTGTATCTAATGGGTTTCTAGTTAATGAATTGGGATTTCATGAAGGAGTGCAATATCTAGCACTGCATTACTGGAGTATGCGGATTTTCAGTTTTAGCATTCAAACTTTAGAGGTCTAACGTCACAACAATGCACTCATGTGCATTTTGTTTGAATATGCACCGTCAATACAACCTCCAAAACCATCCTTGCATGCTCACGAATCAGTGGGACCAACTTTTGTTGAACAACTTTTCTGTAGCGAATTTAGGTGCCTTGTGTTAATTAGCCATAGCTCTATCATCTTGCTGCTCTACTTGATTGCTTGGATATTGTCTATCTTAAAGTGTATGCATTTCAATGCACATAATGTGTGAATTGGCATGAATGAAGCTCATAAAACTTGCTTTACTGATTAGATTTAACGTCTTTTAATCGCAACAAGTCACATTTCACTTTGTGGCTTCAGAGTATAGCAGCGTACTCCTGTCTGTCATTTAGTCATATGTTTTGATTAAAGGGAGTTTAATTCATAAGTGGAGCACAAATGTGACCGAAACACACCCCAGACATACCTAATAGAAGCTAGGTTTAGTGATAAATGTTTCGGAAGCCATGAGAACGCAAAGGTGAATTTTATGATTTTTTGTTCAGTCGATTAGTACCCGTCGTGCATTGCTTGAAGCTGCTTTCAGATCGTCTTATGTTCACTTTTTCTTTGTCTTTGGCGTGACCGATAGAACAACATAACTCCCTTGCACGTGGCGGCCAAGTGGGGTCGGGTGGCGATGGTGAAGCTATTGCTGGACAACAACGCTCTAGTGGACAGTCGAACACGTGACGGTCTCACACCCCTCCACTGTGCCGCACGCTCTGGTCACAACAGCGTCTGCACCATGCTCATCGACGCTGGCTGCAACCCCTCCGCTAAGACTCGGGTATGTGTTTAATCTCTCTTATCTGTCTTTTTCTCCCTTCCCGCTCCTTTGGAGTGGATTGAGTTGCTACTGCTCCGACAGATATAGGTTTAAAGGTGGGGACCAAGGCCATACTTTTTCATCTGCCGGTTGACAGGTGTTCTGAAAATTTTTCTACAGTGCAACATCCTCGGCACTAACTGCAATAGATATTCTCTCCGGCCATGAGTTATTAACGAATTCCGGGGAAGGAACTTTCAAATTACTTTTCAACGGTGAAATTTTGCCTCAATGTTTCCCTTGTCCCGGTTAGAGCGGGTTCGATCTCTAATTAGAGGTATACAGTTCTTTTTAGTTTGCTGAGCAAATTTAAGCTCAGTTGAGACTAATGAAGGGGTTTTGTATGGCGCATTACTTTGTATTTTCAGAATGTAGGTTCACAAATTATATGCTGCTTCTTTGAAAAGTCTCGTACGTTGGTTTTTGGCATTGATGCTTATATCAATTTGGTCTTATTTGGACCCATTTTTCGTCTACCACTGGTAGTGGTTTCACTTTGACTTCTGACTGACCCACAACTCAATTGCCAAATGTGCAATAATGCAACAGCATTTACCAATTGAGAAGGTTCAGTTCCTCTGGGCCGACTTCGTCCCACTTTGTCAAAGACTTACTTTTTGTATGGCATTTATTTTAGTCATTTCGATATAACTTTTAATGTGAAAATTGACTTCTTCAGCGGTTGATTAAATAGCCCAAATCTGGGCATGATTTTATCTTCACAGGTATGTCTAGACACCGTGCTTGTATCCCAACCTTGTCTAAATTAGGGACCATTACATTGATAATTTGGCCTAAAATTCAAACTTATGTACTTTAGAGGGACTGATCTGGTTATTTTGCTTTTAAATCACTAGTTTTGTTTAAGAAATCGCTTTCTAGAAGTGGGCATAATATTTAAACTTGTTTAGCTTGATCACCCTTTAAGAAGGCTGATCTCTCATTGTTACTGCTTTTTCTTGGTGTGAACTGGTTGACAAACTCCAAATTTAATTTCGGCCTACCGTCTCTTTTTTCACTAACTTGGAAATGCTTTTAGCAATTTGAGGTACTTTGTTGCCATCTCCCTCGAGTGTAAATTCCTGTGCTGAAATTAAAAAAAAAAGAATTGCGGAAAGGAAGTTGAATTGCAATTAATAATTTTTTTCGTTAAAGAATTGGAAATCAGGTCTATTGGTATAACAGAACGCTTCTCGGTCATGTTTGCTCTCCTTATTTTTGGACTTCGCAGGCATTTTGATACCCGTCGGTTAAATGATTCGGTCTCAAAAGTCTCGATTGAAGCAAGCTTTGCGTTAATGCTGTCAGAGTTGCGATGAGAAATCGAGTTAATAGAGCAATTTTCGGTCCCTTTGTTGCCCACGTTTTTGAACAACTTTTGTTCCTTTGCTATATCTGAGCTTAAAATAAAGTGGGATCCTCTGATGTTGCCTGCTAGTTACCTCTTATTTTTTGCGTGTGGTTCTATCTATCTTGTGAATTCTCATTCCTCATATCCATAAACGTGGCTTTTGCTTATACATATTGTCATTTAAGAACAGCTAATGCGGATACGGCTTTCTCGCATTAAAACAGTCATACTTAATTTCGCGTTAGAACACGAATGTAGGAGTCGTCTGACAGATTAAGCGATAGTGCAAATTGTAGTTCAAATGGGTATGCCGTTATGCACTTTGACCGAACCGAAATGATGGTGCCTCTCTTTCTCTTCTGTTAGGCAATTCTCTTGTAATAACGGTAAAGTAGGATTTAAATAATGCGGAGGCATTCATTGGAAGGCAGCGAATAAAATATAAGACTGTTATTTATTTTTTATTTCAAAAGAAGAGATGATAGTCAGCGCTAGAAAGAAAAATATCTTTTTGTATGCATAGGGGGCGTTTAGCACCCGTAAATTGAACCAGTTTCTGGGCCTTCTGACCCCAAGAGAACAATTTGGCAAAAAGGGCGTAAAGGACTAGCCAAGTATTAACTGGAATTTGCCAACAGTGTTGCTGTGGTTCCTTTGTCACAGCATTTGATCCTGGCGGCCAACGTTTGCAAAGACCTTAAAATATGCTGGCATTTTTCGAACCTACCTCCGTGATGAAGCTGTTAAACCCAATGTTGACCTAAGGCACTCATTAAACCACGTCTCTAAATTTATGACTACGGGTCTAATATTACCTGTGACTGAGCTTGAGCACGTGTTTCATTCCATTTCGAAAGTTGAAATACTAATCTGCGACCGAAAACCTCTAAGTCTAAAATACACGAACGTCTGTTGTAATCGCATTTGTCCATTTCAGAACAAGTTTCTTTCTGTAGATTACTTCAAAAGATATTTATGAGAACAAAATTTTCAAATGTCTTATCCTATTTCTTGAATTCCATCCTTACTCTTTACTTCCATCACACCAGTTTGATTCGCATCTGCTGATTTTAGCCACAACTTATTCATTTGGCTCGGATTGAGAACCCTGGCCTTTATCACTTGCACCTCGAACTGTTCTCTGAATCTACTCTCTTTTATTTTAAGTGATTGAGAGGTGATGGTGGAATTGTTTAGAGTGCGATGGAAGCAGAAACGGTAACTCACCTCTTAAACAGCTTTTCTAGAAGCAATAGTGTGTTAAGTGGTCCGGCATTTGTGAGTTAGATTTATGATCGCATGCTGCCTTGGAAGTCGGTATTGGTCGAAAGGCTGAAATACCTAAGCGTCTGTCGAAATTGCTTTGATATTTATGAACCCATTGGAAGACGTAAACAAGTACATTTATTGGCATAAGTTTAAAGGGCGAGAACCTAAATCGCAGTTTTACCGTCTACGCTATTCCCTTTTACATGCAACCAGCTTTTTGATCTCGTGAGCTCAATTTGCGATTCGTCTTTCGCATATTCCTATGTTCGTTCCCAGTTTGTAAGTTTATAAGCTAAGTAAAAAGCGGCGGGCTTCAATAATAATAATAATAATGTCTTCGTCGCTCTCTATACTTCAAAGTATGTCATTCTCAGAATGGGCAAGCCGCTTACTTTATTTCGATAAGTGAATAAAACTCACTCAGCCATTACAGCGAAATGGGTCAAAGTCTGGATTCTGAGTTTGAACATCCAAGCAGAGAATAAGTTTTGCCACCAAGGCTCCAATTGCAATGTATGGACTGAGGCGATGGTATTGCCCACTCGATTAAAGTAAACTACGTTGACCTCAGCAAGGACAAGAAGTTGACTTGTTCTACAAATGCTTTGGGGTTTTCCACTTTTAACATTTAGTGGACCTCTTTTTTGTGCCTTAACTGCGTGGTGAATTTTAAGCATTCATACCGAAATCAGGGATCAATGAAAAGGTAAGCAAACCATTTTTTTATTGTATTCAACTGATAGAAAATAGTTAATCTTTCTCGTCGGCCCAGAAACAGCAGTACTATCCAATTTCGCTAAAGGCGGGACCATACCACTTAAAACTCCGCAGGATAAACATTATATTGGTCAATTTTACTCTTCTGAAGTTTTCTATTGATGTCGCCTCCACTATTTCAGACTCCAATACCAAATCTAGGGTACCTTATTGTCGTCAGAATGGGTGCTTTACGAAAGTCATATGCATGAATGTATGTGTTCGAAACGTTCTTTGAAGCAGAGATGAAATTCCTATTTATTTTAGACCTATTTTCTTCTATTGCCTTTCACAGAATGGACTCACGCCGTTACATATGGCGGCCCAAGGCAACCACGATGAGGTGACATGCAATCTTATCACCCGTGGCGCAAGTCTGCAGGCTACAACCGGGGTGAGTATTGTCTCCTACCGCCTAGTTCCATCTTGATGTCTCGCTGCCATAATACAGCTTGTCTATTGGAGAATCGAGATTTACTGTCAGCTTCTGCAATCGGCAAAGTGACCCCATCCACCCCATTAGTGCATACTTTTTCGCAAGGGCGGTCCTTTTATTCGCTTCTATGTTTTCCGGTGTCATTTTGCTTTTTCCCTGGTAGAGTTATCTTATTTTTCGTTATTGAGTGTCTGCCCAGATTTTAGCCCACTAACTTGTGCTGATTGTTGTTACTCTCAAGTTTTAAATGCTTTAAAACACTTAGTATTGTAAACTCTAGACTTTTTTCTTGTTGGAAAATAACTGAAGTGGTCGTGAAAGACCTATAAATAACTCATCAAGAATGTTTCTTTTTACCTAAGTGTTAGACTGCAGGCTTGGAGTTGTGGCTTTTCTCTAACATTAACGTGTACTTCAAATGATTTGATAACCTTACTGAACCTTTGAGTTTACAAAATTGGCCTTACAAGACTCATTGAAGCAGCTTTGAAGAGCAATGAATTACTAGGTATATTGGAAGGACTTTTATGTTTATTGATGCAGGTCTTTCCCCTACTAAGTGAGCTTTTGTTATTGAGTGGAATTATTAATTTCCATACTCTATTTGAAGAAAACTATTGTTTGTTCTTTCTGATTCCATTTGATCTCTATAGTGTCTATTTGCTCCTCCTTGAGTGTGCACTAATTTTTCATTCCTCGTAGCCTTGGGAACAGATTGATGGCATCACGGGAAGTACCTATAACTTCGAAAGCGGTTTTGCAAAGCATTGTTTAGCAATTAGTGCGGTAATTAACGTCTTATTTTTTTAAAAACACTCTTTTCGATGGTTTCGTCCACCTAGTCTTTGTAGATCAAGTGACTTCAAAATACTTTTGTAGGCTTATAGCTGTTCGTCTCATCTCTGATTCGATTCAGAGGTTCACCTCAGTCTTTGTGGTCTGTGATCGAATTGTCCTGAGGACCGCTTCAGTATTAGTATCACCAATCAGCATTGCAGAAATATAATTCGCTATCAAATTCTACAGATGCACTGAGTGCGCAGTACTGTCTTTGACACGAATTAATTCCTATGCTGCTGTCGTGAGGGCAAAGCTGAGGGAACTAATGCGAGTTTTTCAAATCCAACAGGACTTCCTCAATCCTCTACATGTGGCTGCTCATTGTGGTAATGTGAAGGTGGCTCGCATCCTCATCGAAAAGGGCTGCGACATGAACGCGCGTGCTTTGGTGAGTCTTATCGATTCTCGTTCTCTGATTGCGTTCTTTTCTCCTATTTGCAAACTCTTGTCTCCTTCATTCAGAACGGATTCACACCACTCCATATCGCCTGTAAGAAGAACAAAATTTCCGTAGTGGAACTGCTTCTTGATCGTGGCGCACAAATCTCCAGTACTACTGAAGTATGTCCTCGGAAATTTTAAGGCTATGACTTTTTTCAGGCGATTTTCACAAATGCTGCAAACGCAGCAACCGTGGATTATGTTTGCTACATGTATCGTTTTTGATACTTTTGAAGTGCTGAGTTGCATTCTCATAGTAAGATTTCCAGGTCAGTTGGTGGGAGTACTATAAGGACGTTAATTTGTGATAGATAGGCTAATATTACCAATTAGCGTTTTTCCCGTGACGTTTCTTCGAGGACGCTACATGTTGATGAATCTGTAAGGGACTTCGCCATCATCCTGCGGAATGGTTGATCGACAAGTAGCTTGGGGTGAGACGGGCAGAAGTGATTTTGAAAACATGGAAGTTCAATAATTTGAAACCAATGGAAGTAATGATGGAAAAGGTCCGCAGTCTTTTGTTGCAATGGTCTTTCTACCTCCAGTTGGTGGAGGGAGGTTGAGATCGTGGATATCCGGTACACCGTTCGTAAGAGGGTGCTCATTCTCAGTCTTCTCATTTCACAAGGCCGGGCTCACACCGTTGCACGTGGCAGCATTCATCGGGAGCCCAGAACTGGTGCGTTTGTTGTTGGAGCGCGGTGCTTTGGTGGAGCAGACGACGATGCGTGGTGAGACGCCCCTCCATTTGGGTGCGCGATCGTGCAGTTTGGAAGTCGCCGAACTCCTGCTCACCCATGGAGCTGCTGTTGACGCCAAGGCAAAGGTGTGTTTTCTTCTCTTGCCCGAACCTCGCCGCACTCATAGATTTTTTCATTTTTCGTTCTGCACTTTGGTATATGGCGAGAATAGCGAAATTCAATATTTTTGTAGCATGTGATTGAAGCGTTTGCTTTCAGTATTAAACTCCTTACCTCGCTTTTTAATCAAAGTAGGACCTTGGTAAACTTAATACGTGGTCCTTTTTCGTGTGATTGATATACAGAAAAAGCCTTTATTTATCAGCAGAACCTTTGATCAATTATTGAAACCGAAATGTCGTCTTGCGTGCGATGCTTATTTTGACCATGTTGCCGCCGCACATTGTGGGTGTTGCTTTCTGTTGCGTAAACTGTTCCTACAATAGCTTAGACTGTTTGTCTCACTTTACCAGATATTACCTTTAATTGAAGGTTATCTAATGCAAGTCAGATTTTTCACTACTTAGTGTTTGATGCGGTAAAAATAGGATTTTCTCCCCTTCTCTTGCATGGAATGTCACTGCATTATGATTAGGGATAAAATGCTACCCTCACTTTATGGCACCGTGGAGAAAGTTGATTTAATTTAGAACACCATTAGCACTACTGCTGTGTAGCTTTACAAAGTTTCCAATGTTTTGTTGTTTCTCTTTTCATAAATACTCCAAATCCAGCCATTTGGAGTTGCAGTTTCCTGACGACTAATGGTATTGCTCAATGTCAAATGGTAGTAAGAGGGATAGGAAGTTTTTATCGCATATTCATGTGCAATGAGCCACCATTTAAATAGGGCCTGTGAAATGAATCACCTTCACCTCAACGTGTGATGACGGGTTGGCAATCATTCTCACGAATCTTTTTTGGTTCCTTTTTGGCAACTTAACCTTAAATCACCTGTAATGCAGCTTCTGTTGGGAACTGCTGTTTTGTGATTGGTTTACTGAGTCTCTTTGGAAGTTTAGGGGTCTGTATATGGACGTATACTATGTTCGTATCTTAAGTTCAAAAAAATAATGGTAACTGGTCTTGGCTCATTCCGTTACAGCTCTTTGTTCAAATACCAGGCGAGCGGAAACACCCACTAGTCGATTTAATGTGCATTGACGACTGCTGTTAGTGTGGCTTAATCTTTTTCAAATCTTATCGTCGAGTAGGTAGTACTGGGCAATTACTTCTTATTTGAATTGTTGAACTTCTTCGGCTTTGGCTGGAAAACTTATGATGGACAAAATTGACCCCTGTCGTTCTTTTTTATTGAAGTCTGAGATTTCAATGTAGTTCCTATGCCATTGATCACGTGCTGATTGAGGTCATGTGAAAGTACTTGTACGTGTTGGTTCAACAAGGTTTCACTCAGTTTACTTTTGTAAGAGTTATGCTAGTAGAACTAAAAAAACATCAAAGTTGGCAGCAAGTATGCTCTTGTGAATTTATAGTACCACATAAGTCATGTTTAAAGTGCCCACGACCTCTTTTAATAGCTCCGATTCAGCTGTTATAAATTACTTAAACCTTATTCTCTGCTATCATTCCAATGAATTTGGTTTTATTGCCCATTCTTTCTCCCTCCACGTGCCTCCAGTTTTAGAATGGATTGCGTGTCGTTACTAGTGGGTGTGACTTTCACCCTCTTTCTGCTCCACTTTGAGTACGAGACCAACGAGTTTTGCCTGTTTCCTTCGTCGTGCGCGTGCATGCATGAGTGTGTGTCCACTTAATTCACATAAAAGTGGATTCAGGTGAACTTTAGTGTTGACTTAATGTTGTTTTCGGTAGGTCCTCAAATGATTCATTTTAATAGTTGGTATTTCAATCCCTGAGTCCCTCTATCTCAATCCCGAACGTCATTAATTTGACGATTGGGCTAAACAATATTTTCGTAGGTGCTGTCTCATTAATTGTAAATCAGTGTTTCTACGTTAACAAAGTCGATTTCCAAATGATTCGCACAAGTTTATTTTTCTGTACATATTTATGACCTCCTCTGAATATATTTAACAAGCACTCTTAGGATTTGAGTTTGTATTTTTTAATATGTGGTTTCGGACACTGAAGCTTTGTGCCTACCGCTGAAACGGTGGAAGGCTTGTCAGGAATTTATGAGAGTGATTGAACTGAAAATAATTTAAGGGAGCTAAGAGTGTAGTTCCCCTTTTTGGGGGTGATTAGAAAACGCGCCTCTCCCCCAGCACGCAGCTTCATATCTAAGCCTGCTTCTTGTAGATCCCAAATGTCAGTCATAAAAGCATTATTAGTACAGCTTTTGGTACTGGCCCCAATTATTTAATTTACGAAATTAAGGTTTTGCTTTTATGAGAAGATAAGGTCACCGTTATAAACTCTGAAAAGCTGTATTTGGAAGTGGCCTTCTCTACGTTTAAAGAAGTGATGGAAGCAGGCGGGTGGTAGTGGTTCAAATCTATCGCATCTGCTGTATCTGTTGGTTTGGTATCAATATTCTTCACGTGCGACACCATATTTTTGCTAAATGTTTAAGCTTGTGTTGCTCTCCTATGCAATGAATTGCGGGATGTTTGCCACTGCACTGAAGGTGGCTTCGCTACACCCATTGTTCTTATTATTTCCTCCCCGCGGCTGTCTACCTCTCTGCTTTTAGCATTCATATAATATGGAGATTTTATGCGCGTGCCAGGGCTGCTTAATTATGCATTGCATTGTCCTTCTACCTCGTTGCAAACTTTCATACAGTTGTGTGCACAGACTTATCTTTTTTGGTCCTCTGTGTGCACAATGTTTTCCTTTAAATGTGATTAGCTACCTGAATGTGGCTTCTGTAATTTGAATTTTGTCATCAATGAGTGTCAATTTCAATAAAAAAAATAGTGACTGATAGTGAACAGTGGGTTTTCTTTTTTGTCTGAAGTCAGACAAATCGGGACCCTTCTACGTGTTAAAGTTGAATTTTTTCCACTCTGTCACAGCTATAATGGTTCGGGAATGTGTTGTCACTGTTTCAGAAAAGTGACTTCAATAAAACGCCGATCACTGGTAGATGCTTAATCACTATTTGTATGTTAGTTAAACTTTGGATCTCTTTGTCTATATCAGTACGTCAATCTCTAAGATTTAAAAAAGAACGGCAAAGTGTCAGAGGTTTTTATTCATATCTAATTTGTAAATCGCTTTTTAACATTCATATAATGTTAACTGTACACTAGTTTAATTCGTTTTGTGCTTCCTCGGGGTGCTATGTTTTTTGAGGCCAATGTCATCTTCTAAATTCCCATCATTTCAAACTTTTGCTTAGCAAGGAATGGGCGTAGTCGGAAGATGTCACGAAATGGTTTCCTTTTCTTCAGGAAGCAAAGTAGAACATCAATGTTTCTATCTAAGTTCGTTTATCCATGTGCGTGAATATTTTTCATGCATAATCTGTAATTCGTAGGTGGTAGGCCATCGTTTTGCTAATTATCCTGAGTCGGGGGATCAGATGAGCATATGGGAGAACGCACAGACTGATGGTCTATGCGGATAATTGAGCAGGTAGGTAGATATGAATGGTTGTATGGGTGAATGGTTCCACAACTTATTGGATAATGAGACGAATGCATGGTTGGTTGAGGAGGCGACAGGGTGATGGGTAGATAAATAGTACTCGCTCTACATATTTTTCCTTCAACTTCCACAGGATGAACAGACACCATTGCATATTGCCACGCTATGCGGATCCGCGGACATGGTCTTTCTCTTGCTCAAATTCGGCGCCAATCCCAACATGCCCACTCGTGATGCCTACACTGCCCTCCACATTGCTGCAAAGGATGGTCGAGCCGACATCGTCCAGTGCCTTCTGGCCAGCGGAGCTAATCCTGATGCCAGAACTCGAGTGAGTTGTTGATCTCATCCGCGAATGCCCAACTTTGTCGTGTTGCTGGCATTTCTGTTTTTGAATTCCTCGTGATAAATCACTTACTTTTCGGAGACTTCCTTTAGCTATTGTTTTTTACATCTGGAGGTCTCTTGCTCCATTTTTCGCATTGTTTCTCGGAAGTTTTAAACATTGGTTTTATCATTGTAATGCACCCTGTTAAAACGCCTCAATCAGCAGCAATTGTGCAGGGTAATCCTTGTTTGTTAACTACTTCCTCATCGGGTAGATATGCTCAAGTGTTACCTTTACTTGCCATTAATTAGTGTCATAAATTAAGTTGTTCCCACGCCTGCGCCATTTCCTTTAGCAATTCGCCCTTAGCTATGCCATCATGGTATTATCTTTGAGTGTTTATATCTTCAGTTATCATCTTGCTTTCAACACAGACATAAAAATTACCTAACTACACTCACTTATGCGACAGTCTTTTTTAGCTTGAGTATCGTTGTTCCTTCTATCCCAAAACCAAATCTTAAATTGTCCGTCTCCAAATTACCTGGGTCTCCGTCACCTACTATTCTTGAACTATTTTCTATTGTAAACTTGTTAATTAAAGCCGGCTAATTCTTATCTTCCAGTTATGTAGGTGCACGCAACATAATGGCTTCATTGTTACTCCATAAATCTCGAGGTTGATGACCATAACTAGGGGTAAAGAAGCGGTGAATGTGAATTATGTGCATGAATGGCGGATTTTAGTAACACTTTTTTTTATTCTTCAAGTGCTTTGTGTGCAGCGCCCTTCCTCATCGCGCAGCATACTTTATGTTGGCCACCATCGGAGGCCTAGAACCTCATTATCATAGTTGCAAAAGTTGAATGACGGATGCAAATCGAACCACGCTTTGTGTGGCTTCGGATGAAAACAGTCCTCGATGCAACCAAAAGCTCATTCTCGTGCTTAAGTGTTGTCACCACCCCTCCTCACTCTTGGTTACCTAACTCCAAATATACACTGGTTTCTGGATATTCTCCTGTTTTAGCGTGGCTTCTGCCCTCTACACTTGGCGGCGAAGCGGGGTCGTGCGGAGGCAGCGCGCACCTTGTTGCAGGTGATGCGACCCGAGCTGGTCAATGCGGTGGGTCGTAATGGTCTTACTCCGCTCCATATGGCGGCTCACTATAATCACGTTGCCCTTGTCCAACTACTCCTCGAGTTTGGCGCTGAAGCTGATAGACCGGTGTGTTGACGCATTCTTCATTTATGACCTCAGTCTTCGCGTACTTGTGGGAAAGCTTGTATCTACGACCCATTTTGGGCAGATTTCGCTTAACATTTGGTGCGGGGAGACTTATCACGCCCACATATTTTCGCTTTAATGATTTCACTGTTCATGCAGCTTAATGACGCTTCAGTTCGTCACATTTTAACTTACTGCATAGATCATTACGAACTTTATCCTTATCTATCCGCTTTATTTTGCTCGCATTCTCGGCTGGCATAGAAATACTTGAGAATGCCATAATTTAGAAGGTAGGTGTACACTTCAGACCTACTTAAGATGCTTTCCAAAGGGTCAAAATAAGTGCTCACCTTTTCCTGCAGTTGGAACTATTTTAGTCGTCGTGGTTTAATATTTCCGACCTCCAAGGGCTGTGCTTATCTCGGCCCATTATTGCGGTAGAAATCGGTTGCAAGCATACGGGTTAACTCAAACCATATTAACCGAATGCAAGTTCAGATTAATATAGGCATCGTAATGTATCTGATTGTGATTATTTTACGCATTTAGTATACATTATCATCGCTACGTACAGCTGGTGACATTGAATTTCAGTCTTTATCATTAATTTCGTTTCAAGCGGCTAGATTCCGCTGAACTGAATGCATTTTCTAGGTTTCTTTCGCAGACTACGTTCAAAAAGTCGAATCCTCTCCGATGCAGCTGACCAAACATGTACCGACATTAATTTTTTTGGATCATCATACTTTGATTCAGCTCGGAAAGTTTAGTTGGGCGGGAAAAGACCCCAGTAGTACTAATTACCGCCTACGAAAATGGCTATCCAAGCGCTTTTGGCATGGCGCCTCAAGTATGGAGTTGACATGCAACTGACTCTTTGTTGGTTTTGGCTAACCACTTTGACGGAATAAGTCAACTCATCCAGTGCTGGCTCAAACAAAATTGACGCGTTTATTCAATTTCCCGATCCTGTTTGTTTAAAATTGCTTTGTAGTAGTGAAGACTTCTTTTTGGCTTAACTCGACAGAGGCTGCTTTTGCGCAGTAGCAGATTGATTTATCGTTGGTAGCTATTGAATAGGAGTGTTCTCAGTGTGATCCTGTTTTGTCCTTCAAGGCAAAGGTAAGGATTAAGCAAAGCTCTACCCACCCTCCTTTGCGCGTTGTTTGTTTGGTGTATTACCGAAATGCCTTCCCTTTTGCTGCTAAAAACAGCTTGGCTAACACAGTATTCTATACTTTGCGATCGCGTTTCACTGCATTGAGTAAACTTGATTCGGTGTTTTAATCGCCCAGGGAAAGGAATTCAAAGCTCCTTTTTCTCAGTACCTTCAGAATATTATTAAGGCTGAGATGTTTCTCGAACATTCTGTGGGCAATTCTGGAAGAGAAAGGAACTAAGGGTATCATTAATGCTTATTTGCTTACATGAGAGCTTGCAATAAATGCCCTTGCCTTATTAAAAGATTTCGGTTTTCTCATTTTCCTCCAGTGGAATCATTTTGGTAGTTTAAGTTCAACCGAATGCATGCAATGGAAAATAAGCCTTCGAGCGGCTCTGCATGTTGGCGAACAAAATTGAGTCATCCATCTCATCTGTGGCCATAATAGCGCTTGACTGTTGTTTGGTGGTTGCTGAGGCATTTATTGGAGCACCATTGCCTTGGCAACTGCCGTCAACGTCCTTAAATGTTACGAGGGTTTCTTCCATCCGTTTTTATCTTTACTTTGACCAGCATTTGTTATACCTATTGCATTTTATTAACTACAGTGACTTTAGAACAGTTCTTCACACTTTGCTGACCCACTTTCCTTCATCTGACAAATAATCAAACTGATGGTAATTATTCACCTGTCATGTAATTAAATACTGTTTGCAACCGTTTTATGTTTACACCTATCAAAGCTATCGAGAACGGACGGGGCAGTGGGGGAACGTTGGACTACTTTTTCCCATTTTCAGGAATGGGAAAAATAAAAACAAATCTTTTGCAGTTGAAAGAGTGCTGTATAGCTTGGAACGAAGTTTTTTGGGACTCTCTACCGTTGCTATCCGCGACGTCTCTATTTTCTCCTCCGTGATTATTGGTCACGTTAATAGGCCGCATTTATAAATAGGGCTAAAAAAATGCGTTTTGCCTTTGTTAAACTGACAGGGTATTTAAATATGCTTTTTCCATAGGAATCCACCGCATGACGTGGGTCGTAAAATTGGGATATGGACTTAATTAAGGTCAAGGAAGCTGGAGATTACAGGAGTTGTTTACCTAACGTCATGAATTGGCGTGCGTAGTGCGACTCAATTCCATAACTTGAAGTTAGGCCTGAAAAAATTGTGGGCTTTCAGCTTTATGTGAAGTATCTCACAGGATCGGTATCCAGGGCGTTGCCCACTATGCCTCTCCGTGTCCAATTTCTTCAAGGTTTACAATGCTCTTCTACCGATATCCCCTTTTATCTACTGCGTTTTTGAGTGTACTGTTAAGGATTTACCTGTGAAAAGCAATGCGTTCAACCACAATCTGCGGCATTCATCAAGCATTCTTCTCGTCTCATCTCCTCATCAACACCCAAAAGTTCATGATGGATAGCTTCTTATTTTCAGGTTTCCTACTCAGCTCAATTTATCAACAAAATCATTCTTCGAGATAATCAGGATTTGATACTGAGCTTTAACAACTCGAGTGGAAGTTTTCGATGCACTTACTGTGTCACTCGCTCACTAAATAACCTCTACACTACGTGTGGGCTTTGCGCGATTTTCTCTTTCATTCAAGGTCAGTTCTGCTGTGGCACTGTCCTTTTCACCCGCATCTGCGTGCCAGATTGCTGTGAAACTGAATCTACTCGTTTACACACTTAGCTCTGAAAAATGATGCTACTTAGAAATTGTGTACTCTGTCACTTTAGTGTTACACTTACAACCGAAAGGCTAAGGGTTTTTAAATCATCTTCAATGAGCCTTGCGGCTCACATATTGCTAAGACATACGAGAACGTATTCAACTTAACTATAGTGTTTTGGTACGATTTCACTTCTGGATTGGAATTGGCGATCACCTTGCATTTATGAAATTACTTTTCCCCAACACATGCACGTGTTTTGCTTTCACGGATAGTGAGTTGAGTAACGCCTTTGTCGCTTGTGTCACGCACAGTTGACGCCCCGATTTTCTTACTTGGATTTCTAATGTTTATCAACTGACGAAACTATGGCGACCGATTAATGTTGCAAACGGGTTAGTTGAGTTTGGGACAATAAAGCAGATGCAATTGAACTTGGAACAAATGGCAAAATCCCTTAGCTACAATGTAAACTTTGGTGGCGAATTTCCTCGAAACACCAGATAGACACGCATGAGGCTGTGATGCTGTTCATTCTGCTTCATTTTAAGACAGGAATACAGTGTGCTGTTTAACGATATCTTCCTCCCCATTTTGATGCATTGTAATGATTTGTACTTCCATCCTGTTGTTATCGCCTCAGCACACCTAGGAATAAAGTGAACTCTCTTTTCCCTACTAGTCACATCCATCCCCACTCCCTATTTACTTTTACTCCAATTCGGGCTATAATACTTTGGAGACAATATTGCTTTAGAAGGCTTGTTCATTTAACCAGATGGCAGGACATTCTTTACTATCGAAGTTGCGCGCGATTGAGTTGATGATTTTGGTGTTCATCCGGTAACAATGAAAATGCTACTGTCGAGTTGGAATGGTGGCTTTGTCCCAGTGCACGATGTTGCACAACTGAATTCATGTTTAAAGCTTGGATTTTTGAAAATGTTCTGTGCAAATTCTCATCAAGTTCAGAAGGTTAAAGAGGATCAGGCCTTTTAGTAACAGCGGTGATTGTTATGCTCCCTCTTGCGGTAAATCAAGAGCTTTGTTGTGATCGGTTTCTACCAACCTATTGAAAGTTAAAAATTTTAGCTTGTTTTAGATTTCTCTCATCAAAACTTTCTTCACTTTACTAAAATGTGCTTTGGGAAGTTAAATTTGGCGTCTTTAGAAGCTCATATCATTTTGCATAAACTTAAGCAGAGCCCAATACTTGCGTGTCTAAATGTGGTATAATTGTATTTAGCATCCCGAGCTAGCTTCTGGCGATAGGGTACGTGTATTTTCTACGCGTTTCACGTGAAACCCCCATATGGAGGGGTGGCTTTCTGTTTTGTTTGGGCATTGCTAAACAAAACAACGATTGCATTTCCTGATTGAATGCATCTTTTATCCCCATTACGTCAGCAGAAGTATCCTCATTTTTGTGTCAACATGTTGGTTCTGTTGAAAGGAAGCAATTTCTAGTTCCGTATTCGCTATGAAAACTCGCTTTGGTCTTGTAAAAAGATGAAAAAATGCTTTAAGTGAAGCACGTTGAAGTGGGTAAAATGTGAATAAATTATCCATTTCACACTCCATACCGGACTGTGATTTCCATAGTCTGCGAACTCACTTACGTTTCATTCATCATTCAATTCACGCCACTGTAATGTCTCAGATACCCCTTTTTTGACGGAAATGCAGAGTGAATGTAGAGGAGTGTGCATCGAACACTCAATTTAGACTCCCATTCATTTTGGTCAACAGTGTGGTATGTTTTAGGCACCTATTTGGAATGTCCAATTCTTCTACAGTGTCGTTACTGTCACATTTTGAAACATTGGTTTCGCATCCATTACTTTCGAGGTTTGCTGTCTACTCGAACATGGTGGGTCTTTATTGTATGTCAGTATGGTATTACTCGGCATCGTTGATTCTAATGCCTGTTATTCTGGAGAAGATTTAGAGGAATGTCAGCCCAGAAAATCCTACTACCAGCATAAAGAACCGTCTGTAGACTCTTGGGTATTAATGGTCTGAGCTGAAGAACCAAACAAATAGATTTTTACAATTTGTCTTCAAATCCATGGTTCCGTTGCTTTTTGCAACTATATGTTGAGGTCAAGATTTCTTTTACTCATTCGACTTATCCTTTGTTATACTGATTAGGCGGGTAATGGTTATACGGCGTTGCATATCGCGGCAAAGCGGAATCATCAGGACCTTGCGGCTCTCCTGTTGGCCAACGACCGTGACCCCAAACGAAGCACCAATCGCGAATCGCGCTGCGGCTTTACACCCCTCCATCTGGCTGCTCAGGAGGGCAATGCTGACATGGTTGGCTTGCTCCTTCTCAATGGAGCCGATGCTGAGTATAGGGCTAAGGTAAGGCTGTGATCAAACATTTGTGAGTCTCGAACATTTGCTTCGAAAGGTTACAGCAGGCACAGTATGTTCTGTGTGAAGGGTTGATGTTAACATTACAAAATCTAAGCGTAAAGCTATTTTCCCGCTAGGCAATTGCGACGTTATCGTTTTACATTCATGGTGAAGACCTCAGAAGGAGTTACAAATAGCCATCACAAGCTTTCATTACCACGCCCTGTAATTTAGCTCGATAATTAAAAAAAAACTGCTTATAAGTGAGAGGCTGACATCGCTCTAGAAATGCTTCCCTGGAACCATTGGTGGTATTTGAGATACAGATTGGGTTTCAGATTCCTAATCCCTCGAATTTCTCCTTTGCTGTGCTTCACAGAGAGGTAATTGTTATTGCGTTTAAAAGTGCGCTTTGTGACCAAGACTTTGAGCGATTCTTCTTTCAAGGCAATTGATATTTCATTGCACTCAACATTCTCAATTTTAACTATCTAAGTTCTTTGATATCTCTTGTGCAAATAAATTAGAACACTGTCACTATTTTATCTTTCATAGGAGCCCATAGGAAAAGCAAAACTATTTGTAGTTTTAGTGTTTCATCTTAATCATTTTTTTCGAACGCAAAAGAATAGCGGTTTGTCTCTAACAGAATCTTGTAGGCAATTTCGCTACAATCGTGCATTGAAGCTTGTATTACACGGACCCAAGGCATTAATAGCGTGCTCCGTAAATGTAATATCGCAACCGCTTGAATGTCCCGAAAACTCTTGTCCCTTGACGGGGAAGACATGTTCAATTCCCATTTATCGAACCCACTTGTAATGAAGAAAGTTTCTGGATAGAAGGAGTTATCCCTCTGCATTCCAAAAATTAAATTTTTCTTGTATGCCGTATCTCTAGCTGTCGTTATAGGAAATGGCCAAAAGTTGGTCCTTGGTACGTGCTTTTTATTGGATAAATGGTTTGTTTTTTAGTTTGCTTCCATTTTTAACGTCGCATTCCCATTTATTGTCTCCTGGGTCATGAATTTTTTTTCATTTACTACCCCTTTCTTCTCTTATGGCCGTGAACTTCTGTTTCACGTTGGAAATTTGCATAATGTCTGTTTTTGCATCATCGTCTATGTGTTCGCGTTAGGGTAGATGCATGTTTCCGGTTTTGTGTGGGTCTGGATGTCGAATTTTATATATTTGCTTCCATTGAATGAAGAGGCGACTCATGGGATAGTGGCACAGACGAGGCATTGGGACTGGTTTATTTCCCATGTCTTTCACCTTTACTTACTGGAAAATAGCACACACCATTAGCATTCTATACATTTGTGAACAAAATGGCACATTAGGGCAAATTTTTTTTGCTCCAGTGATTATCTAAAGTTGTAAATAGCATTGAAAATGGAATCCATTTTAGTCCTTCTTTTCATTCCGATATATGGTGCAACAAACTTGACAACAACGCCTAGCCAAAAGAACGATGTAAAATGATCGCATTGGTTTTAGTCGGTCGCTCTCAAATCTATTTCGATTGCATAAATTATATAATTCTCTCGCGAGGACTCAACCTCGACCAGCATCCAGTAAGTACACTTTGTTACAAGCCTTTCATTCATCATGCTAATTCAGTTCGTCTTCCATCTAAGCGGTATGCTCATTTTCCCACTCGTTATCACTTCTTTTTTGTTGATCGTCGGCCGGTGCTGAGTTTGAATCGCAATTCTCTGAAAGCACTTTAAGCGTACCTTTTAAGGATGGAAGGTTATTTATTGTATGACCGGCTACAATAAAGGCAACAAACAAAGTCGTACTCATAATTGACATTGTCGTTGTCCACTATTTACTACACATCCGTTCTTGATTTCACCTTCCGTACGAAAGTAGAGTTGCTCAGCTTATCTTCCCTGTTTTGGTGGCTAATCTACTTGCTTAATATTTTATTCTCGTAACCCCTGATGGTTGAAGGCTCTTTTATGGAAGCTTGTGAATTCCAAATGAAAAGGAAAGCTTAAATGCTTGTTGCCTTGAAGAACGCGAGTCTAGCTGACGGGATTTTCCCAGGGTTTCATAGGTTGGCGCTTAACATCTTCTTGACTAACGTTTGTGCACACTTCTTTCAAATCAAGTAACAGTTTGCTTCCAAACGAAAATTGCATTGTTTAAAAACGTTAAGCGGATGTCTTAGTAGAACCCAAAATGCTATCCAAACGTAATGTACCCACCTTAGGTCTATTGATTCATATTACAATCCTCAAAGCTGACTCCTTCCCGTCTCTTAGGCGGTAGAATTTCTTTCACTTTAAGCGGTCCAGGTGTGCATGGTGCGATGTTTCGAGTACTTTGGTTGTTTTAAACTTATTTGCCTGGGTACAGTGGGAGCTGCCGTGGATCCTTCCTCGAAACTAGTTACGTGGCATAGGAAAACATTATTTGGGACATATGGATGTATCGTCCATGGTTTAGTTGCATGAATTCAATCCACGTATTAGGCTAGTATTCTCGTGCATGCACTCAACGGCGTGTGTTGCCACTTGAAGACACTAAACACGAATTCGTACCTATCACTCATACGAAGCACTGGACGCGCTCGACAGTAAGACACTTGAAATTATGTACACGTTTTATGCGGCAAGCTACACGTTTGTACGTGATGATTTTGGTCTTCGTGAATCTTAAATCATCTGCACGGTAGCAGTTGGTGTGAGATTGTTCATTCAACGCATAAAATACCTACTTGGCCTCGGATGCTTGTCTCTTGCATAGTCCAGTCTCACATTACACGCATGAAAATCATTTCGCCTCAAGAAGGAAGCTCGAGCTGGAAATCAGACCAGCTAAGTAAAAATAAATTTAGTTTCAATTGAATGTGTGTGTTTGTAAATGCTAAATGTTGGTACTGGACTTTAACCTCTTTTGTATGTTAGGTGATTCTTACTAGCGGATCTTGGCGACCATTTGAGAGCTTAACACGCAACTTTTGGGGTTACTTTTGTGTCATGAACACAATTTTATGGAAATACAAAAGGATTATCCTATGATCCATTATAATTTAAACTACCTTCAGAATGGTGTAACCCCGATGCATCTCGCTGCGCTGGAGGACCACGTGACTGTGGCGCAGCAGTTAGTTCACGAGGGGGCACAGGCCACGTCTGTAACACAGGCGGGCTACACGCCCCTACATACCGCTTGCTACGCTGGTCGTCTGAATATGGCACGTTTTCTGGTGGCTCTAGCTACTTCCGACATCAATTCAACCACCAACGCAGGATTCACACCCCTTCACTTGGCAGCGCAGCAGGGTCACTCAGATATTGTTTACCTCCTCCTTGAACATGGTGCTGATCCCAACTCAAGGAATTCGGTGAGTCAATTAATTTAAGTTAAGCCGCTTGGCTCGAGCTCATTGCTCTTCCAAATTCGTCCAAACAGTATGCACCCCACAGCGAGATGGTAGTGTCGATTTCATCTCTCCGGAAGTAAATTTTTCCTTAACAGATATTCTGCTCCTCTTTCAGTTTTATGGCCATTCCTTGTGACGAGTTCGAAACTTTCACGGGGCTGGTGCTTGTTAAAAGAATGTCTCGTGTAGATTTAGACCGGCTGTAGAGTTTTCGCTCATATGAATGCATGCTCTCCTTACACCTCTCACCCATGTCACCGAAATATTTGGACTGCTGTTCCTGTGTTTGTGCTCCAAAGAATTTTTACTATCTTTCATTAGTTTTCTCTTTGGCTTTTTTTACGATTCTACGTATGGCTCAGCGAAATTAGCCCATTCCCCTCCTTATGTCTCATCAGTGTCGACCTTACCATTTTGACTTATTATCTGTGTGGATCTTCTCTGAAATATAAATTTTTAAATCCACGATAACTGCTTATTGTGCTCGCATCTCAAGAATCTCAGGGGTCTCATAAAACTATTATACTCATTTTATTATTATTTTATTCCCAACTAAGGCAAAACTCCATAGGCTTTATTAGTCTACAGGCATTAGTTTATGCTTCACAAAATCATGTGGTGGATCAGGCTTCGGTGAACTCGATATCGCTGCTCATTTTACCACGACCACTGCTCTAACCTCTATATTCTTTAATGGGGGTAGTGCCCTTCCTGTCAAACTTCACGGGTCGGCATGGATGAGCTTCATTTCTGTTAACCCTGGGAGAAACCTCGTTCCACTTAAACTCACTAGCTATTGTTTCATTCTCGCACAAGCAGGAGTCGCTCATCACCATTTTTTCCCTTTCGTGGTAATTATGCGATAGCTACACTAGAACCTAATTTTGAGTTTGACCACACATTTTTTCCATCACAAACAATTGCAGTTGCTTGCTTCCGTTAAACTTCATTAGTAGTATCGCAGTTCAAGAACTTCGGTGGCCTAGATTATTTGGGAAAATACTACGAAATAGGATTTAGGGTTGAGCTAGTCGTTGGTTCTAATTGCTACCAACTTTTGAATCGGCTTGGATGGACTGCGTTCTGCTGTTAGATCATTTCGTTCAGCCTCTCATATCCCATGTATGTGTACGGTTATTTGTAATACATTGATAGAACATACAGTAAGATTCATATGGATATCATACTTCTTTATCGGTGCCACAGGAAACACTTTCAAGGCATAAAATATGCGATGACTAACTTTTGAAAAGTTGCAGGTGCAGTTGTGAACCTCACGATTCTCTGTTAACTCTTGAGGTTAAGCTCCCCTTAAAACGCAATTCTGAGCTTCTTGCATGGTTTATTTCATTCGCCTTCGGTGGATAATTTTCATATTTGCTGTGCTTGTAAGCCCATATTTCATTGTCGACTCGCAAGATTGTTACCAAGTTTATACTGTTTAAAATGCTTTCAGAGGGTGGTTGGTTAATCGTCTGTAAACTTACGAGTGATTCTGGAGCAATAGGTTTGTTTCATGACTAGTGTTTTGGTTTTTTCCTCTATTTGCAGCAAGGTCTAACGGCAGCTCAGATTGCCCGTCATCAGCACTACCTGACTATTTTTGACACGCTCCGCGCTGTCACTACGGTTATCACCGACTGGGATGATGCCAAGGACACTTACAATACAGAGGTTCTCCTTGATTTGCCTGAGATTTCAGCCACCGCTAAAGAAGCTGCCGAGGTTGTTGAATCAGATGAGGAGGGAAGTAAGTTCGTCCACTACTCACACTGCTCTCTATGAAATCTACTATTCTACGTTCTTTGCAAAATGAGAATTACGTCTTATTACTCCGCTTGTATAAAAAAACATTTCTATCGGCGATACTGGCGTGAGCTAGCTTGAATGCAATTGCCACATGGGTTTATTTCTTACCATTCCGATATTGTTTTTAAAGAACGACACGAAGTAGCTGTCGATTTTATAACCCATTTAGCCATTTAGCTCTCCCTGAATACTGTTAAATAAGGTGCTCATTATTGTTTTCTTTGTACGCATGTCAGTGGTGCTGTCAAGAAAGGTCGATAGGACATCGGCATATCCCTCGCAATATCAGGCAGAATATGTCAAGGCTTCTTCGCAAACCTCCAACACTCTTCATCCCTCAGGTAAGCCTGTAATAGTAGCCTATGGCTTCTTATTTAAGAGTAAAAGTAAGTAAAGTAAGTTAGCAGCAGTTGTCATTTCAGCACTCAGTAGGTTCGAAATGCATTGCCGTGTCATGTATTCTTTAACAGTTTTTGGAAGCCGTTTGAACACGATCGTGTTGTAAACGAATTAGTTGAGTTTGTAGCAAGGTGACTGTAAAGTGTCCCTAGTTTGGAGTCGTTACTCGTACTGAATGCCCTGCTAAAATTATTCCTCGATTCATCAAATAACATCAAGATGTTAATACCGCAATGTTAGACCACTGAATAGCTAATGGTCAATGGCTGACAATGATTCGGCCTTTGGTTATTTGCTGACTTTCATTTTCATTTTTAAAATATAGCGCTGAAAACTTGCGGATGTGCTATCGAGTTGGGTCTTATGCTAACGGCTTGAGGAGTTGGATACTTAGTTAGAAGCTTCATCTGCTTATCTTTTAGTCTCTGTAGGCCTCACTGCATCGTAAGCCTGAGGTGGTCTTAGATGACCTAACAAATACTCCTAGTTATCATTAGGGCTCATCCTCTGTCTCATTTCAGTTGTCAAGCTTTTAATCTCAAAAATGCTTCAGTTCCTTGTAACACGTTGATCCCACCTCATTTTCCTCCTATACGATCCATTTTTATGAAAATGGCGATATCCAAATAATTTATGGCCCTCTTCGCCCATTCGTTGCTTTATAAGTTCTTGCTCTAAAAATGCTAAGTTAAAATACTGTTATGAATTAAAAGTGCTTTGGAGATAGTCACCTACATGAATATTTAAAAAAAACTCGAAGGTTCAATGCTTACTATGAGGACTTGACCCATCCCGCCTCGCTAGTAATTAAGCTGGATTGTATTTAACACTGTCTTAGCAAAAACACGGCTTTCCGTTACCAAAAGTACTATTTTAATGTTGCTCTTTCCTTGCAGAATCCGCCTACGAAAATGATGTAATATGGGGCGAGATGGAGTATTTGAGTCAACCACTTCGTAAGTCACATATTATGGTGTCATTCCACTTCCCCTTCTTTCGTCACATTCTACTCTTTCATGCGTTGACCATTGAGTAGTAGGTGCTTGATTGTCATTACACCTGTCCATCGTCAGGCAACCGACAACCAACCATTGGAAGTGGAGGTGAGACAGCTTGTATCCTCTGTATGCATGCTTAAACGGGCTCGATGTTGGCATGCATCTCTACTCCTGTCAAGTGTCTTGTGTTTGTCTCTATGACCTTTCCTCTCTCTACCTTCACTATGGTTTGTTTCTACACTTTAGTCGCATGCCTACAAATTCGTACCTGCGTCGCAGTTGATGCAGAATTTCGCTCTGCAAAAGTAGTAATTTCGCATGGTTGATTTCGGATCTTAGTTATTATCTATTCATTCAGACTTCCACATAATTTATTACACTTTTATCAGTGGTTGTTATTAGCTTGGAACCCATCGTTGAGTATTACAGATCCATAAGGTACACGCTGAAAAGCCTCTACTTCCACTGTGTTTGGTGAAAATGTGCAGTTTTGCGTTACATTGTTATCACACCTGTTCATTATTTCCATTTTGATTCACTGTTATTTCGGTGCTTTACATCCCCATTTGGGTAGTTGAGTGAAAGGATTTTTTAGTTTCATTCTCATTGGGGCTTAGAAATTCAAATGTGCTACCCATGCATTTCATCCATTTTCATTTAAGCGCTCCAAAAGCATACTTTCATAGGGAAGGTTTTTTTAATGTTGGTGACAGGATTATGCCATTTCCCGTCGCCCTCTTTTGGTATTTCATTTAACCGGTGTCCTTTCGTAAATACGAGACTGAGAGGCTTGGGGTATATTTATCCCAAATCATCCCATCTCATATTACTCAATCCAGCAGGTCCGCTTTTCTTGATTTAAAGATACTGGGCTCTTTCTCCGTCTTCCTTTTTTTTTCGAAACCTAGAAAATTGAATGCAGTTTGAATATTCTCTTGCTTTTAATACCTAAGTAACTTTTCGTATTGCATTAGATTAAAACACTGCGTTTTCATTTCTCATTTGCGTTTCTTGGTTTTGGCAAAAAATTAAACTTATTCTTTACTGGTTTGTTTTTCATAAATAATAAACCTACCGCAGTGGCAAAATGATCCCTGCCTCTATTGCTAAAGTTTCTTTCGGGTATCGGTTTCGCTCCTTTCTTCAGTCAAATCGTTGAAGCCACAAATGTTTGGGTAAGAGGTGATTACCTTAATCTACTTCTGGTTCATTAATGTATCTACAGGGGAACGCTATGTATATTCACTGAAACGTCACCGTTTGCTAGAGATCACAAAATACGCACTCATCTATGCACATAAAGCTCAAAAGCTCAACAGGAAGGCGACGTTTTTTCATTAGAAGCAGTTCCGAATTGGGAAATCGACAAGGACCACGAGGATACCACCTCATTGACGGGTTTCACTGATGCAGTAGCCTTTTCAACTGACTCCTCCACCATGCAGACCGACCAACATCAGCTGGAGCTGCCCTCTGGTCGGTTGTCTTACACCCTTCCCCATCGCCCCTGCTCATCGCATATAGTCTGACAATGGCTAAGCTTCTGAATATGTTAATCACTTTTTCAATTTTTTGACTCACACCAGCAGTCACGGTGGCTACGCTTTTATCGATTTCGTTTGTAAGACGGCCACTCAACGTGCTAATCCATCAGTGCCATTTTAATACCTCAAAGCTTTTTTTATTTACAAGTACCCTTTTAATCCATTTTTAGCATGTACGTTCAATGCGATTGCTGCTTTCTCATTTGTGCTGCTTCTGTAGTTGTTATGGTAGCAGATATTCTGCAAGCATTGGAAAATCCATCGATGCCCGATAGTTTTGTCTCTATTTTCCGTCCCTTTTTCCATGCAAATCTTGATTTTCTCTCACACTGCTCGCTTGAGTCGGTCCATCAAACATGTTTCTGTGGCGTCTACCACAGCTCATATCTATACCCTTATTGTAACTGATACTGAGCCAGTTCTTTAATACTTTCCCTGGTGATTTGTATCCTCCAAGTTTACATGCAAATTCATAGGATCAGTGTTTGCTGCGTTTGTCAGTGATCAGGCGTTTCTTCTCCAGATATGTTCCACTTCCACCTAAAGTGTGCCTTTGATCAGTTCATTCGACGATGCTGATCTACTGGGGGTGAAAACGATCAAGTTCCGTACAGTTTGGATTCCAATTTTCCTTCCATAACACGGTAGTTTTGGCTGTATCTAGCATTCGATTAACATTCCTCCAATCGAACCCAAGATGGAATTGAAGAATCGCTGCACGACTAACCGATATTACTTGGTTCTGACCCTTAGCACCGTCGTAACTTCATCAAAAATTGTCATTTGAACTGTTGACTATTAGGTGGAAGCTGCCTCTGCTTTCATGTCCGTCCACCGATTCAATTTACTGATCGAGCTTAGTTAAGGTATAAAATTTATAGTTGAAGGTGTTAGTCTATAAAGAGTAATGCTTAACGTTCATAAGACGTGCTTTTTTTCTTTGCAAAGTAATGCGCTTAATCGCACATTCGCACCAAATTACGCAACCTCGCCTTCCCCTTGCAGAAAGTAGCGTTGCGGTATTGTTAAATCTTCGTTCATTTGTGGGTAAAAGCACACTTCCGGCCTACCTTTCCTTCCTCACTAAATAATCCTCACCGCCTTTCCCCCCTTTTTCATTTGGCATTGCTTATGCATGGTCAATACTTTCACTAAGCTTTCATCTGAGGCATAAACCACGATAAACCTGAAAGTGAATTGAAGTGGATGGTATTAAAGCTTACATCATTGTTTATCCCCTCACTCCAGATGAACAAGTATTGCACGAGACGTCGGTAGTTCCGCAACACAATACCAGCCTCTCTGCCACTCTTACCAGTGATCTACACATGGGAGAGGTACACATTACATCTACCATTTCTATTATTTCGGTTCATGTTGTTGCAACTTCCAGCTTTGCTTTAGACCTCAAAGGTGTTAGCAGGTCCAGGTGATCACCTAGACGCAGAATGGGAAATGGAAACAGAGCCTGTTATGAGCACCTCAAAAAAACCGCTGGCTGGAGGGTGAGTTTCTCTTGAAAACACTCCAACTTCTCTCTTTCCCTCCTCACTTTTGTGTCTCGTGTTTTACACTCACCACTTATCTTTTCCTCCTAGCTTCGAGAAATATCTATCACCCTGGTAAAGCCCCTCGTGTTTTTGCCTCTTTTGTTTTGAACTTACATTGACCTGTCCTCCATTTTGCGTTAAAACTTTTTGGACACCTCACATTTTTTGTGCATGTTTGCCTTCATCACGTTTGGTGCGTCAAAGTAACTCAACATTTTGCTACCTTATCACTATGGCAACACAAGCTTAAATGTTTTGTAAAACTGAAGTTAACCTCAAAGATATCACAGAACTAACTTTTTTATAACTATACAGGACTGAATAATCCATACATTCAGGTCAAACGCCATTAGGCTGGGCGAATATGGGTCTGATCCATACGCTTTTGCCCTGTTTCGTGATACCGTAGTTGCTTCTCTGGTCCAGCAATTACTGTAATTAAGTATGCGGAACCATTTGAAAGGCCGGATCGAATAGTGCACAAGTGTTTTTACATAAAAATGGTAAGAGTTTTGATACCAAAGCAACGTGTTGAATAGGCTTTGACCTAATTCATCTGTTGAGCCATCTGAGGGCTGCAAAACAAAGTTTCGTTCACATTATAGATTGTTGAAAGCTGAATGTTGTTCCGCTGGGGGCTCTCTGCTTACCTACTTCATCGGGCGCATTTGTTTCAAACCACAGTCATCAAGTGTTATGCTTTATGAAGGAGGAAGGAATTTGATGCTACGTCCTGTCCATGTTCGATTTCATTGTCATTTCATTGTTGAAAGACAATTTGTGTATGAACAGCCTTGTAATGCGAAATGATGTGTCACTTCCTGTAGTCATATTTCCGCTTTAATATCACCCACTATGTGCGAGGTGAGGGCAGAGTTTTGCCCAAAGCTCAATGCGGTTTAGATAGCCTTTCTGAATTGTACTTGTCTGTAACAGATGTCCACCTACCACTTTACTGATGCAGAGAGTTTTCGTTCCCCACGTCGAACTGGCCGAGATAATTCACCATCCCAGACATTGTCCATGTTCGCACTTTTGCCAATCGAGGCATGATACGTTCCCATTTTATCTCCCTTCTGATTATCCCTGCACGAATACTGCCCTGGGTGTATAGGAATGATAGGATCCTTTTGCTTGCCTCTGTTTTAATAATCTTGTGAGTTTTCCCTTCCATCACGGACTCAGAGTGACAGCAGCTACTTTTTGCACAAATCCAAACGTGGCGGACAAGTTATGGCTTTATTTCCCCTTCATTAGCCTTATTTTTATTGCCATGGCAACAATTGGCAAGTTATTGTTTCCACTGGGTTTCGCTCGAAAAAATGGAAGGGATAGGCTGTCCTTTTGGTGAAGTGGTCTGGATTTCACCTTGTGCTTATTTCGCTGCAGAATCAACTCTTCTTCTTAGCACACAACCATGGATGTCATTTAATTTCCTTTTTCAAAGTTTATGAAAATAGCCGTCTCCCTTCAAGTAGATTGAAATGTTAGATGATAACAATTTTTTTCACCAACATTTGCATGATGTTTTGATTGCTCCTGTTTGATTTTGTTCGAAATGCATGGTCTCTTCTAACCTTTCTTTACCAATTACTGTTTTTTGTTTCGGGAACGAAATTTCAGTATGATTAGAGGTTGGGCAAGGTAAAAATTTGTTTGGAGCACCTATTTAAGCACTTCTACCACAGTTAACATAGCAGAAACCAAATTTTCAGACTACTTGACATTGAATAATTTTGCTTCCGCCTTTTAACGAATGTGGGACAAGTCGAATTAGGCCGGAGAAGGTCCTCTAGTACTTGTGTATGCCGATCTCCCATCACCTGTCACTTGTTGCAGCGTTTACGCTAGCCTTGTGATTCCCTTTTATTTCTACACATTTTGAGATAATCCTCGACGTGTAGCCTTGCCACGTTGGTGTAGGATGGTATTAAAAATTTGCGTTTCCTCCCATTCATCGGGCTTAACAATTAAAATTAAAATTAATATTCATTGATGTTAAATTTTCTTTGCTGACAAAAAGTGACGGTTATGCTTTGAAATGGCGAACAATTATGGTTTTTGGCCGTTAAGCAAATGTGGCTTTAAAGCGTTGCAAAAAGTGACAACCACACGACCTGGAATTTACCCTTCCAAAAAGTCTAACTGCTCTACTGTCTTCGTAAACCACACTTTTATTTGTATGTGAAGAGGTTTCTTGCTCACATAAGGTCTGGAGGCAACTTTATGGTCCGCTATTCTAAATTTTCGTGTTACGTTGTTTCTTTAATTTCTTCAAAAATGTCCAAGCTTTCTGCGTTTGATGCGAATTTCGTCGGATTATGTACAATTCATAAACCACGATAACAAATTTACAGTTCCTAAGGCATGGGGCGTTTCGTCTTCCAGGGAATATACTTGTCTAGCTCATACTTAACACCAATTTAACTGTGTTCTTTATTCAACACTGCAATATCAAGTAACTCGTATGCGTTGATTTTGCAAGCCGGAACTGTCCAAGTTTTTTGCCAACTCTTTTGCACTATTTTGTCTTCCTTACGATATCGCCAACACCTTGACTGTCCGTGATCCTTCTCGCCTAGCTTTCTGGTCTCTTTCCTGGTGGATGCACGCGGTGGTCTGCTGGAGTCGAAACGCTATCCAGGCATGCGTTTCATCATTCCGCCTAACGCCTCAGTTGGACCACTTCGTATCATTTGTCGCCTTCTGCGCTACCCATCCTATGCCGTGCAACCGCCTCTCAATGATGGTGAGGGTCTGGCTTGCCGGTGAGCCTTTTCTGTCTTTTACCATTTACATTCACTTTATTGGCTCGGACAAAAAGTCACTGGATTCAACTGTGATGATGTTTTGGGTGGAGATTAGGCATGTGGTTGGGTTTTCTGCCTTTTGATTAAAAATGTAGTGCATTCCATTTGGAACTTGTCAATCAGGCAAACATAGACTTGCCATGAAATCTCAGTTTATTGTGTATTCAGTATACTTTAGTGGATTTGTACCGGCGAACAGTCAAGAATTGAAGAGAGCAGCGGGAGGAGAATATTGCGTTTTATTTTACTTGTTAAGGCCTAGTTGTACAACTGTAAGCTCTGGTATCATTGAGTTGATCAGTTACTGATTGCACCACCCCAGACTTATCTTTTCACTTAGCAAGCTGTCATGGTACCATTCATTACAATGAAGTAATTTACGTCACATTTTTTCGCCTCCTCACAGACTAATTGAAGTGGGTCCAGTGGGTATCCGTTTCAACACGTCTATCCTCATCGAGGTACCGTACTGTGCCTCATTGCGGAGCAACCAACGCGAAATCGTAGTGCTCCGTTCCGAGAATGGTGAGATTTGGAAGGAGCATCCAGTTGATCCCACTGATCAGGCCGTTCAGGACTCCCTTGGGGAATATTTCGGTGCGTCTGCAGCTGTAATTAATTAGTTTTGCTGATATACAAGAAACTTTTGAAGGCTAAGATTGTATGTAATTTAAAGTGGATCATTTTGTCAGTTTCCTTTACGTCTAAAGACTATTGTTTCTCTACATTCAAAACTCCAGAACTGTGACTCACTTAAAACGATTTTGTTGGTGTATCTGGGTGCGCTTCTCTATATGCTTCTTGGCAGCCATTCATCAGTGTTTAACCTCCCTAAGTTGGATTATGTAGCCAACGAAAAAAAGTTTATACAAGAAGAAAGTTCAATAAATTTTATTTACAAGTTCCTGGAATTAGTTTAAAAACGGACCTCAATGCTATCATGCACTGTCTCTTCAGGAGGTACAAGTAATCTCACTTGGTCTATATCGAATCCGAAAATACTCGGTCGCTAGCCTTATCCAAATTCATAGTTTTCCCAACAATGGTGAATAAGAAGAACTATTTTAATATTAAGCCGGACTGTCTAGATATGCAGCGCGATGGGAGGTTGCCGGCATAACTAAACTCCACTTCACCCCTCTGCTAGACTTTACAGCTGTATCAAGCAACATTCTCTTCCATTTATTCTTTAGCTGACGCAACTCCCTCCGCTGAATTGCGCAGACGTCGAGTGCACCGCATCCTCACCAGCACCATCCCACAATACTTTGCTCTGATCACACGCCCCCGCCAAGACCTTGTGCTGGTCGGTCCTGATGGATACGTTCTCACATCCAGTGTTGACCCTCAAGTCAAGGTCACATTCCCACGGGGTGCCCTGCAGAAAAAAATTCGAGTTGGACTGCAAGTACAGACCGTGGATCCTACCCTCGTGGCTGCATGTCTCGGTTCGCCACGTATTGCAGTCTCGCCGATTGTAACGATAGAGCCGCGTCGACGCAAATTTCACCGTCCCATTGTGGTATTTATTCCTTTGCCTACTGTGGCAGGGAAAGGGTCACAGCAACAGCAGAAGGGGCAGACTCCACCTGATCTCTCTACTGTGCGTCTGCTCTGTTCCATCACAGGTGGCACGGCGCCGGCAATTTGGGAAGACATTACTGGCAGTTCACCGTTCTCGTTGCAAAAGGATTGTGTCTCTTTCACTACTACTGTCTCGGCTAGGTAAGAATGTATGATCACTACTCTTGATATTTTCGAATCAACTGAGCTTTCCCAGTACTCGAGTTTGGAAGTTGCTTCACTGGCATTACTATTTCCTGTTCCAAAAGCCGTTTTTGGGCCTTTTTCTTAGGTTGATTTTCTGCAGCACTCATAATTGCAATGCTTGATGGTTTAAAGCCGCTCGGGCAATGCTTTCAATCGGGATGAGTAGACCTCATAATTTGTAGTTAATATCGTGGATTTTGGGGGTTTCATCCGTCATATTTCGTTCGTAGGCATTTAATGGTCTACAAGGCAAATAACTGAAAAACATGAAGTAGAGCTACAGGACTGAACCTCAACTTTTTACCTCCCTTTTACATCTCTACTCTTGCCCTCTCTCTTGATTATTCTGGGATCCTTGTGAGGTCCTGAAATATCCGATTTTTTTTGTGCTTAACTAATTTTCTCAAGGTGCACTATCAACTGTTCTATTGCCGTTAAAAATAGGTCCCGTTTTGGTTTTCCTTTGGTTTTAAAGCTTCATTTTTTCTGTCATTTTCCTACCGCAGGCTTGACAATTGTCGAGATATATGTGCGAGGCAGTTGCCTGCGTCCTCCCTTGGGGTGGTGCCTGTTTAAACAAAGTCAGTGATTTACTTTAAGCGTAGACACTAAACATTGCATCGAGGTCAGTCTTGCTGCCTTTTTAAGGAACTTTTAAACTTTATTTCCCTCAGTGGCACTCTGAAGTTACAGTTTGTGCATTAGCTGTGGAAACCGCGCCAAATTTTTCATTACTCTCTGGACGAAGGAGGGAGGCAAAATGAAATCTAACTTTGGCGAGAAAACGAAAATGACGTACTAGATTTATGCTTGTTAATGTGTTAATAGAATACAATTTACTCCATCTCCTCCATATAAACTCTCTTGATTCTTTGGTCTTCTAGACATGGTTTGGGGAAGTTAAAATTTTTCCTTGTTCACTGTTGCACTATCCCGAGACTTCTTACTAGATATTAGAAGGTATACACATGTTTTGACAGAAAGGCAAGGGGAAGGAGAGCTTTGTTATGGTCTTAGAGTTGGCTCACCCGGCGCAAGCAGTACGGTTGCTAAAGTAGCCGCTGCTCAAGGTATTACAACCGAGACTAATGTACAAATAAATGGCTACCTAGTTAAAAGTTGATTAACCTTCATATGATTATCCTGAACTACGTCATAGATTCGTAGGTTATTCCTTCCCTCGTCATGTTCCCTTTTATCGATGCCCCATCGCGATCCAACTACTCATAGTGGAAGATTTTAGTTCCATTTTCCCCGAATTACCCTTCGAATTTCTTTATATATCCTACAGTGACGTAGAAATCATGACATTGAATACACCTGGTCCATAAAAAACAGTTTTGGTGAAAGGTCTCTTGATTTTTTGGGGTTAGACCGGTTTTTGTTGATTACGTTTTGTTCCATGTTGTGCAGCCAAATATGTGATTTTGACCTAAGACAAATAGCTTTTCTGGAGTCCTTGAAGACATAGTTCCCTTGCTCTGAGAGTGAGTTTGTTAGAAATGCATATTCTTTTATCCGTTATCCGCCGATGGGTTGAAGAATGCGAGACCTGATCGGCACTATTTGGCTTTCAACGCTCCGAAATAGTCTATATGTATCCTTTTTTTCAATTTTAATATTAGAAAAGCAGTTCTAATTCTGCCCTAATTTCGGTGCAACTTTTGGCGAACTGTCAGAATTGGATAGCTTTCAAATAGTACCTCATGCATATTAACACCTCACTTCATGCTGTAGCCGATAAAACTGATCCACTACACTCAGAAAAATGTAAATTACGGTTTTGGCCTTCCGCCTTGTCAAGATTGGATTTCGTGGGAACGTTTACTTAACAAAATTTTGTTTTGGTTGATTGACTTTGTGGATGAATGCCCGTAAATCCCAATGCATAGCAGTGCCATCTTGGAAGATTCTTGAGGGACTACGTTTTTTACATCAATTTTAATCGTAATTGCTGTTACATACTGCTGTGACAAAAGTAAGCATGCAACACTCCCATTTTTTCTCAATCGTCTTCAAATAAGAGCAGTTATAAAGCTTATTTACTGTTCGGATTAGGCTTTTAACTTCTCCCCTTCGACGAGACTCTTAAATCATCCTAAATCTGCCCAAATTCAATAGGTTTCAATCAAGAATACAGGACTGCCAAGTTCAGCAGCCTTCCTTGGCTCTGATTTGGAATACCCTGAAGTAAATCTTCCTTGATAGGGGCTTGTTTGGACTTTACAAAGTTTACGTTAGGGAATAGGCTTTTATTTCACGTCCTCTTGCAGGCTTTGGCTTATCGACTGCCCGAACCTCTCAGAGATCTCGGAGATGGCTATGCGGGTGTACAACGAGGCAACAGCAGTGCCTTACCTGGGTCGTTTTGTTATCTACGCACGTCGTCACCATCCTGAGGAAGCGCGTATTCGTTGTGTCTGCCTTACAGACGACTCGGAGCAGAAAACTCTTGAATGTCAAGAGGGCTTTGAGGTTGTGGCTCGTAGCGAGGGGATCAGGTCGTCCGATTCTTCTACAGTTAGTCCTGATTCCGATAGTTTGGTGGAGTTTTTGCACAACCGCCCCGTGTGGCTTGAAACGGCAGGCAATCTAGTCCCTGTCGCCGCCTCTCATGCAGTCTCCACCACAGACTTTACTGCTGTGGTTGATCAGTTGCGCTTCTCTAGTGTTTGCGCCTTCGAGGAAAACCGATTAAACGTCCTTCTGCGCATCAAAGATCTCAACTCTCCTCCCGCTGGCCATTTGGCCTTCATGCCACAGCAAAGACAACCTGGGTGGGTAGCCTCATCACTGTAACCTCCTCTTCATACTCATGTATTTACTTTTTTTGCTTTCTTAAAACAGCCTTTCTGTAGAGCCTCTTTGTGTTCTTGATGTTCTGCTTCCACCGATGGTAGCAAGTTCTATTTCCGAGACTGCGGTATCCGTTGGGCGACATTCTTCCCAGAAGGACACTGCAGCAACAGCAGCCTCAGGCTTAGTTGCAGCAGCAACAGCATCTTCTTTGGAGAATTTTTTCAATGGCAGCGTCAAGAACGGATCTTTGGATGAAGGTTAGTTCACGTTGCCCAAATGCCTCTTACTTTCGCGCGCTTTTCAATGTTGGATATCGACTTTAGATTGTGGTTCTGTTGGCCATCGCTATGGCAAATGCCGTAAGTAGCCAATGCTGGTCACTAATTGCTAACGCAACACCATCTTCCTCATTGTCAAACCCTCTCCGTATTTGCATTCAAGTATATCAAATATTTTTTCAACTTTCCTTCTTTACAACCTCCAGGGATGGTGGAGTCGATAGCACGGTCGGATTTGGATGTGATGAAGGTCGCGGATAACTTGGGCCCTGACTGGGTCTACCTCGCTCCGTACTTGGGCCTCTCGGCCCAGGATGTCAATGATATTCGGGCCAGTGGGACGGACAGCGACTATAAAATGGCCCTGATGTGCCTAACCCTTTGGCAAGAGAGAGCTGGTCCCCAGGCCACAGGTATGAACTGATTCTGAATTGTTGTAAAATTCTGTCAACCTTCCTCCCTTGTCCTTAAGTTATGCCTGTTGGAACTGGCAGAGACTACTAAATACGTCATGATTCGCACAAGTGCATTCTACTTACCTAATGAATCCGTTAGGCTCGAAATTTTCTGATGTTGGTGATTGTAAAAGGGGCGCAAGACATATAATGAGTTACTCTTTGTCACCTTTGTCAAAAACAGCTTGCTTTATTTTCTCCTACATTCTATGGACTTCCCCACCGGATGATTAAGTAATGCCCATTTGGAAACCATCCAACTGCCTTAGCTGAGATAATAAATCACAAAGAAGCTATTCATGTTGGCAAAAGGAAATTGTTTGTCGTCACACTGGGAAAGCGAAAAATTGACCGGTCGAGTTGGTTGATTTCTCTCTCAGGTAATGTTCAAGCATCAAAAGTGTTAAGTTTAAGGTCCTGGCTAGCGTTGGACATCGTTACCGGGCGGTGGGACAAATTACCATTTATGGAATTCCAACAGCACCACGTTGGCACTTTTAATTTCGGTCCAGTGTGAATCCAAGTTGTCATTGTGGACGTAAAAGCACTGACTCTCTTGTAGAATGGAAAGTCGGGATGTTGTCGCATGAGGGCGTGAAGGTTTAATAATTTCAAGCAACAGTGAGGGCGTTTGTGGCATTGTCTCAAAATGTAAAATCAATCAGGGATTAAATGCACACAGGAAAAAAAAGAAGCGAATGAGTTGTCACATCACATCAGTTCGGCGCATAGGTGGGCAAGTATGAGAAGTTGCAGTAGCAGGCCAACCAGAGTGCTGACATCAAGTTTTGTGGTCACCAAGCTTTAAGGACGGCGCTTCCTCTGAGTTGTAGGTGGTAAATTGGGAGTAGTTGCAGTGGCTAGAGGATTTTATGAAGTGAAAGCAGAGGTGGGAGCACCAACAATATGGAAAATATTTTCAAAGAACGTGACTGAAAGAGCCAGACATTCGATTGCTTTCCTCATTAATCACATTGTTTATGCAGGCCCCCTTGACTAGTTTCGTAACGAATCGTTTTCAAACAGAATTTTCTTATAAAGAAACTCCAAGGTATACTCGTGCATGGTAAAATACATTTTTTCTCACATCGTGGTATCGCAGTTTTTCTCAAGTCATGCTCACAATTCGATGAACTATTGAAACTTTTGACAGCATGCAGACCTCCTTGTGAGGCACAAAACATTCCTTGCAGGGCAGCTCCACTTTTTGATTGGACGATTTTTTACTTCATTTCAAATGCTGTATTAATGCGGGCTTTCCTGCCCTCCCGCTCACCAGTCTCCCACATCGAGCTGGCAAAATTTGTATTTGTGTACAATGTGCAGCCAAGGTTGGAAACCGTTCTATTATTTTACCTACACAAATGTTTAGATATGATAATAACGGATGCGTGTTTTGGCCGCTGTGCTCATCTATCAGTTTACATCTGGGCAGTGTCTTAGTCTTGCACTGACGATTCGCTTTTCTAATGGAAGAAAATGGAATATCGTGTACAGGACGATAACTTCCTGATATTCATAACTACTACGTAAAGCCTAGAATTCACGGCTCTAATTAGTAATGTTAACAATAAAATTGCTACTGAGTATTTATCAGTAACTTGATCTGTTCCGTTCCTTAAAGGAACTGTATTAGCACAAGCACTGAAACAAGTTGGTCGCGAAGATGTGTTGCGTCAGAGCATGCAGAACATCAGCCTCGTGCAAACCGATCCTGAGCTCTCGCATGCCTTGCGTAGTCTGGAAGCTGCGGATATTGCGGCTTCTGTTGAGCAAGTAGAAACGGAGAGGAAGAAGGTGATTGCAGAGAATGTGAGGGCGGAACCGCAACAGAGTGTCATCAAGCCGGCAGTTGTTGATGATGGAGTGGTGGAGATGACCATTCTGCCACCTACACAGGCTTCGCCTGAACACGAGGTTACTAGCAGTGAAGAAAGGAAGGCTGCCCTTGATGCTCTGGCCACCCAATTGGGTGACGACAGTTTTGAATTGCCACGTACAGCGAATCTTGCTGATGCTAACTATGGCGATGGTAAGTGATGCGATCCTTCTTATCTCTCTTTTGACGGGAGACTCCGCTGGAACTATCAAATTAACTTTTGACCTTTTTAAAAGTTGAGGAGAGTGTTTTGGATAGAAATTGTAGCTCAGATATTGTTAAGTGTGATGTGTTCATCATTTATGGGGACGATTAAGGACATCTCATTGTGATTGAAAACTTTATGGTTCATATTAGTAAAGTATTTGGTAAATTTTGTTACTATGTTTATTTGCCTTCAAAAGATCTTAAGTTGATGGGATTGGATTCCTGATACACCTGAAATTAGAAAGCGGAGAAAAACTTTACGGTTTTTAAGATTTTACACTCCCTTTTTTAATAGGCGTCGGTGAAGAGGAAGTCGTACCCGAGACCGTAAAACGAGCTGATCATTTGCAGTCTGCAGTTCCTGCCTTCCTGCTGGAAGAAATAGAACGGGAAGAGTCTCGCACGGCCGCCCTAGATCCTTCACATCCCGACGAGTCAATAGATATCGGTGGTGCCACGGCTTCTACCACCGCTGTGGTCGGGATCGAAGGTGTGTTGTCGCTATTTCCCTACCTATTAGATGAATTTACGATTCTCATAAAACTTCAGAAGGATCACCTACAGTACAGTTTTATCCCACAAGTCTGAGACATTTATAGAGCTACTTCCTTGAATTGGCCCAGAGTAACTCAGTTTCGCCTTTTTTTCTAGAATCTTTAACTAATGACGTAACATTTTTTGAAGTTGACCTATTTTAATGCAAGCTGTTAAGGTTTTTTATTATGGCAGTGTTAGAAGGAAACCGAACACCATAAATTAGTTGTTCTATCACCCTAGTGTGGCACTAATACCCGTGTTTCCAAAATGTTCGGATCAAACGACAGGAGAATTCAGTGCATCAACCCTATTATTTTACATTCAGCCACTCTCTGTAAAACATTATTTGCTGCAGTCAGTCATTGGAACTAGATAATTAATGTCATATTTACCCATGTATGTCTTGCCTAGGCAATTTTCTTGCACTCTAAAAGGATCACTTGCGTGTTGATGATTCCGATTACGCAAACATAGGTCAACTGTGAAAGGGTGCAATTCTACATATTCTAAAGTTGTGCCTATAAGGAAGCAGTATCTTCGTTTCTTCCTTAAGGTGAGACTGTTTCCCCCGGATCTGCTGAGCTAGTGTTCTTTTGCTTGGTTCAAGCACGAGGAATGAGAACCTATGCACACTTTGGGAACTTAAAGAACGGTTAATGTCAAACTGTGGCACACTTTAGTGTGGAGGGATGCGGATGCAAACAATAGGTTCAAAGAAGAATTAGACTGATTACTTGTGTGTCTGTGAGCATAAGGGGTGCATTTGGATGTGGTGTGGTGGGTGAAAAACATCCAATTGCCAGGCTAAAATTTGATTTCTCTATTTTAGGCGAAACAATTGTAACAACGCCCACGGATGGTAAGACTGCAACCATAAATCTACTCCAGATGCTCGTCTCATTTTTTGATCTCTTGGTAGCATTGGTAGGCAGTGTTGCATTCATGTTCTTGCTGTTGTTCTCTATTTCACCGCCTGATGTGCGGTAACGCATGCGCACTAGCGCACATCCACATGCACACGAGTGAGAGTGAAAAAGAGCTAATGTTGCCACCGCCTGTCCTGCCTTGCCCATCCCTCTTCGCCATCACCTTCTCATCCTCATCCTCATCAGCTGCATCAAGCACCGCTCCTCCTCCCCTTCCACGCTCGCACGTACACGCGCCCGCTCAACCTATAGAGGTAATTTTTCATTTCCTTTTTCTTCAAGCTGCTTCTCCTTTACCTAGATTTTTCACTTATTCATTTTGGGTCGAATAAATACTTTGAGAGTCGAGAAACGCCTTCACTAATCTGGCCTTAAGCGAGCTACGAGTAGTCTTGAAAGTAACACCAAAAAGCCGAATAAGGCATTTGAACACTGTGCAACGCTTGTGGGTTTTGCGTTCCTTTCGTAGCTTGCGTTAAACTTCTCTAGGTAGGGCAAATACTGCATAGAATCAATTTTTGAGATTCTTAGCGTAATCTTTTCCTCACATTGTCCAGAAAGATCCCCAATTAGGCAAAATCTCGTGACCGACTAGGTGTGGGTCAACCAATCAATGTCTTTTTTGTAGACTCGCTATAGCACTAGGTTCATTGTGATCTGGTTGATATTGTCGATGAACAGTCCCTCCGCCTAATACGCGTCTACGGGGCAACCTGCACTGATAGCCAATTTTTTGTCCATCTTTTTGGTTAGAACATTAAGCGCGGGAATGACAGTCTGAAAGCCTATCAGCTTGCGAGACACTTCATTCCATTTAATATATTATTAACTGTAGGTCAGTTATTCATCAGTCGAAGTATGCGTTATGCACGGGCATAAATGAAGGCATGCAGGACAACTTTCGGTCAGGTGCTACCGCTACTGAAAATAAGTGGTGGTTTTCCAAATAAAGTAATCAAAGGCTGTTATTTGAACATTGGTTACTAGATTTTTCCGTGGAACTACGACTTAACACATACTTTGGAATTTGAGCATATTTTAGCTTCTGCTCGGTTCTTGTGAATGTTAATTTTATTCGAAGCTTTGATCGGAAGCCGACTTTCTGGTCTTCTAGTAGCTCTTTATCGTCACTTCTGCATTCTTCTCGATTATGGTTTCCTAACTGATTTCCTTGAGATTAATACCAGTTGAGTGTCGTATAGCTTTTTGCATGACAGGCACCCGAAACTGCAGTCACTGCTGCGAAGACCATTTCCACCACTTCTTGCAGTGTCTTTAACGAACCAACTTTCTTTTTCGATTCTTTTAGAAGTTACATCGAAACCACTAGTATGCGAGGGTCTAATCATGTCGGAGTCAACGCGACCTGCACCGAGTCGGGCTCTTGAGATGACTTATGGGGGTGATACATCCTTCTGGATGAGTCCTGACGACGCCAAAGGGGCCGGTAGTGACTTCGGGGCAAGAGTGGAGACGGAGATGGAGGCGATGGCGGAGATGGAGTCTGAAGAGCAGGAAGGTGATGTCATCATCCAACCCGTGGCGGTACCCATGTGCGGTGTGTCTGAGGCCACATGGGGCAGGGCGCAGTCGCCGACCCCATCCACTGACTTTGACATTCCTCTGATTGTGCCTACTGTAGTCGAGAGGCTAGGTGAACGGGAAGATACTTGGGGCAAACCCCAGGAGTTGGACTGAGTATCTTGAATGGCTCTCCCCTTTATATCTCACCTTTTCTATTTCGTCCTCTGGCTACCTATCCCCAATCAAATAAACACACTGGCGATTGGGTTATAACGGTAGTTTAGTGTACTTCGACATTTTTCATTTACTTCTCAGTGTTCCTTCATATTTGGTTCCTGTTTTCTCTTGTGATTTCTGGCTTTATTGCGTGATTTGCATTTGCGAAGAGTTCTCCTAGTCTCAAGGGGTTAAGAATCCCGCTCCACATCATACATTTCCTTTTGAATTGTGTTTCAAGCGGCGTTAGTTGGACATTTTCTTTGATTTTCGTTTAATAACGACGTCTCCATTAGTCTTTATTTCTTCCTCCGTCAGCCATTTGTTAGTTTTTTTTTACTGTTATTAGAATCGTTAATTGTTCTAATCTGCTCTTATCTACAAACCTCTCTGCTAGTCTCAAAATATCGTGTCATTTTTTACGACTTCTGGAGGGGAAGTCTCCGTTACTACTTTTCGTTCCGGGTTTTCCAGACGATTGAAGTATCCTAGCCTCTTTGCATCTCTGTTGATGCTTTTACTTCGGCACACTAGAATAGCTTTACTTTATTTTCCCCTTAAACGTTGTTAATTTTCAGATCTTTAATAGAATTATCACATTTGAAGTTGGAGTTCGTATAAAGTGGATTTTATTATTTTGAAGCAACTCTCTTCTGAGACTGGGCACTGTGAAGCCGTCAGGAGTCGTGATTAAATATTGAGGCAATAAATTATAATAACAGCTAAGAAAAGTGGTCAGGTGGAAGCGTGTCTGTTTGTGTGACTGCTTAGGTGTGCATTGAAGTGTATGCTTGAATGACTGAGTGGGAAACTGAAAGAAAGGCTCCACCTTTTGTGTGTGAATTATTTGGAGGTTTTGGCGGCTCTTCCAATGCCTCGAATACACTGTACACAGAAGACAAGTTACCTCAGTATCCGCCACCGCAGGAATCAGATTCCCTTGGTCCGCCTACACCCCCCGAACGTACTCACAGCCAGTTTCGACACTACTATTCACCCGTTCAACTTGGAGCTTCCCCTTCGCCATCGTTGCCGTCATCAACTCACCTTTCTATCACACGTGCGATTTTCGAGAAGCCTCTTGACTGTCCTTTGCCTCCGCACGTTCCTCCACACCTCACCGGAATGGAGATTTCCCCACCCGCATCTACAAAGACCTTCCGTGCTGATTTTACAACTGAGGAGGGTTCGTCTATCCTCCCCGCCGCTCCAACTGATTCTATCATTTCGGGGGAGTTTGTGCTAATTCGCCAGATGATTGACGATTCCAACACACCGCGTGTTAAGCAGGACACCAAGATGATGGTGCCTGTACCTCTTCACGCCACCGCTAGCCTTGGTCAAGGTCCACTTATTGGACCTGGAAAGTGCCGCGTTACCACAGAATCACGGCAACAAGCTTTTCTGGATGGACATTTTCGATTGCGGCGCTCTGCGACCAATTCGAGAAGAAAAGAGCCGAAAGGAGCAATGGATCAGTCACCACCCGAACCACCAAAACGAACGACCTCGTTGCGCAGTGGAAGCACTTCAACCCTCGCAAGTCTGGGTGAGACCTGCTCACCAGTGGAGTGAAGTGACCACGGACTAACCAAACAATTATCTAATCCCTTCTCCATTCGCGCACTATCGCTGATGACGCCTACTGATCTGCACCATCTCTCTCCACACACGCATCTTTTTATCGGAGCGAATTAGATGTGTTCTGTTGTCGTGCTCACATGGTTGTTTGGTGTTATGTGTATCCCTTTACCTATCTCCCCTTTTCAGGGCTACCTCCCAACGACACATTCTGTTTTCTCGGTTGCTTGTTGTACGCGTAATTCACAATTAGCGTTTTAACATTAGAATTGATAACGGCTAGTCTGTTTTGCGGATAGGTGGGGAGAGTGAGGAAGAGGGGAGGGAAGGCGGTTAATAGCCATGTGTGTTGTTTTATCACGATTAGTTCCTCAGGGACCGCGGCAATCAAGTTGCAGTCCCATTCCGGCTGCTTCGTCATCAGAGGACTCTCAACTGCGAACCGTTCCGCTGTATGTAGCCAATCCGCTAGTCGATTCGTCTATGGTAGACTCCTACATCGAACCCTATCTCGTCTCCTCCTCCCTCCCTCTCTCTTTTCCCTTCACCAATAATCTGCCCCTCACACCCATCCCCGAGTCTTCCGAGTTCTCGCTTCGATCGTCCTTTGCTAGTACGGCAGCCACTGGACCCGTTGGAAGCTCAAATGGTAGCATTCCACGTTCCATCGCACGTAGAATTCGCGACGTCTCTCCGGCACAGCCGATGCCTCTACCACCAAGTTCTCTTCGCTCTTCGCTTGAGAACAACCTTCTTGATCAGCTAGTAGAGAATCAGACAAAGGGAGGGTTTACTAGTCCCTCAAGTGTGGGGTCCTCCTCGCTTAATGAATTTCTTCGTCTGGAGGAGCAAGAGAGCTTAACAGACGACCTGGAGAAGCAACTGTTGGAGGGACAAGAGGGTGATCGTTCCTTGGTGGAGTCGGTGGTGGAAGGCATGCGAAATGTGGAGGAGGGGGAGGGCGAGTCGACGAGTTTATCGCGGTCGCTGGGTCCCTCAATTCTCATAGGGACGGATTCTGCATCGATGCTGTCTTCGTCATTTGAAATGGGGCCTTCGTTTGCATCTTTGGCGCGTTCTGGAGCTGGTATGGGTGGCTCGACCTAACCTCCCGTCCTCCTCCCCTTTCCCACTCTGTCTCTTCTTTCTCCGTATGTGTGTATTGAAAACCGACCTTGTTTGGCCGTCTAACCGCCACTAATGCTCCTGCCCCCTTTCTTAATTCGATGTTAGCCGGAGTAGTCGAGTGGGCTGTGATGGGATTGGTGGTCCGTTGTTTGGATGGCTGCAAGGGTTGTTGCGTACGCACACACTAACACACCTCCCAGCTTTGCACTAACGATTCGGCACTGCAGGTTTCCGATCAGCTTAACGTACTAGAAGCGATTGTGCGAACTCAAATGTCTCAATTTTTTTTTGTTTCAGACACACAACAACACTGAGTCTGCAGCCGCGATTTACAAAGCACTTTGGAGATTCGCTTTGAGGGTATTGGTTGTCTTGCTCGTGGAGTGTCCCGTTTTAACTCTCCTTTTTCGCCTTTTCTTCCTCTCCACTTTTATCCACAAACTTTGTTGTAGCTTTTGCTGCATTACTGCTGCATATCTGTGTGCGCGTGTATGGTTAGAGCTTTTACATCCACCACGCTGCTACAAAGTTCTGTTCAACAGTTATTTCAATGCCTTGAACTAACGAGTTGTATCCCGTTTCTCTTCTCTTTTCTTCTCGCCTTCCATTTCTTCCCTTTGCCTTTCACGCCACCCCTATACCGTGTTGGTTTTAAGCTTGTGTACGCGTACCTGCGCTCCTGTTACTTCTGATGGTCTAATTATAGATACAAATTAAGCTACTTGGTGTCCCCTGGTCGAAATTTTAGCCCCTTCTAAGGACCTCGATCAAATTACGCATAAAGCCGTTAGAGCAATGAACAAATACACTAAAAAATTTCATTAAAATTAAACCTTCGAGGGATAGAGTTATTCACTCCAAGGATTTGAGCAAATTGATCTCACCAGGAATAATGTTCGATCTGCATACTGGATAGTAGCGACATCCTCCAATCGAGTCGCGGACTTATCGACATTCCTCACGATTCAATCAGGAGGATGGCAAAGGGGATTAGAAGGATGAGCGAGGAGGATGAGGATGAGCAAGGTGAGGTACATAAATGAAGGGAATGAAGGCGATGGATGAGAAGGATGAGGCGGACAGTGAGGACGGATGTGGAGGGTGAAGGCGAATGAAAATGGGAAGAGTGGGGAGATTGGATGACAAGGATTAGAAGAATGGGTGGGACGAGGAAGATAAGTGCGGAGGGTTAGGATGGATGTGAAGGAGGATAGTGGGTGCCATTCTACTTGTACTTTATATTTCACCCTACTACTGTAATAGTAGCAGTAGAGTCGATCGGATTCTGATCAGGTGTAGGGGAAAAAATAAACAGTTGTCATGATGCAATCCACGGAAAGCAAGCAGGAACTTCCGGTCCCCAGTCGAGCATACGCTTTACTTTCCCTGTTTCTTTGGTAAGGCGGTGTTCACAAGTATCGCGCGTTTTGGCACACGGATACAAAACTGTATAGAATGCACACTTTAAATGTTGAGTTGCTATTACCTGACCATGGCTACCATAAATATAAGCTCACTCAGTTCTAAGTCTGGGTGTTTAAGGTGCCTACTGACTGCGTGCCTTACTGCAACAGATTTATTTAAAACCACTCTTAAGCTGGTTGAGGGACTTGAAACCAGGTCAGCGTATTTGGGTTAAGCTTTAGGCTAAATTACAAACATGCATAAAGTTGTGCTAGCAGAAAAGTCCTTCAATTTATGTAAGCACGTTGGTTCTGCAGGCCCTCCAAAGCAGTCCCAACTGAATTGACCCCACCTTAGAAGAGCGTTCCATATACTAAACAAACAAATTTAACGCAAATGTCAGCTTTATTGCCTTAGCAACCTAGTGCTCAATTTGTTCCATACATCAAAAATAGTACGAGGCCCCGAGAAGGTCAATAAACGCATTAGCAAACATCGAAAAAGCTTAAGAATACTGTCAATGGTAATTAGTTGTGCAACACCTTGTTTATTTGACTAATATTAGCAATTGCGGTTATTTAGGTGGTAATATCGCTCTGCCCAGGCCGCGCCAAAAATTCTGATTGCTCTTTTGCTAGAGGCCTATATTCTACCGATGTATTATGGCTCCTTTGGCCTGTAAGGAAGTCCCAGGACGCTGGCAGTCGCAACTTATGGAGGCCGTTTTGAGTAGAGCTAGCATAAAGTTTTAAAGCACGACAACAATCGATGTTGAATCGAAAAATGAGTAACTAATGTACAAGAAATACAAACAACTGTGACAAAATTAATATCTGAGTGGATTCAATGACATGGTTCTGGAAGACGTACAGTCAAAATCAGAACATTTTACGTTTAAATGAATCCTTCTTCAAGATAGCTCATAACCAGAAGTCAGTGCATACTGTGATGATTTGTTCATTCTGCTACCTGTATGGCCAGCAGACACTTTGGTGTTCAGCATGGTTCGCTGATTGAGATGACCTTCGAACCAAGTCATACCTAATGCATTCAGCTGCCAAGTTGGGAGTTTAGGAGGAGTACACATGCTTGGTCACCTTACAGATAATAAGCACTGCCAAAACTATAAGAATGTGGAACCCAGGCTGTGAGCTCGGAACGCCTCCAATGCTGTCAACAATCAGAAATACGAAAATTGACAAGAAAAAAACGAAGGAAAAACGTCTCTGAATGGCGTAACCATAATTTCCACAACTGTATAGAATCCCAAGAAAAAAGGTGAGATTTAGATACATACTTCGCAGTATGGGTGAGACGAGCCATTGTTCAATACATCGACGTAAGACCGTCATCTTTTGTTATTTTTGTCCGATATGAAAACTTTCAAATAAATGACAAGGACCGCAATTAGCAGCAGGAGTTAGTGTCTCATTCCGCTGATTTTTCTGGAGACTAACAAAGACGAGAAGGCCAGTGAGAGTAGTTCAAAGTACGTATTAAGCTTCCCCCCATTTCAACTCATTGCAGTAAAAAAGTACCGCCATCTGCAGCCGAGGAACAAGGGCCCCCAATCCACTGTTGTCATGAGGCATTCACAACATTTGTTGCGAATGGCTTGATTGCTTCCTTAAGGTCAACACCACCTTACGACCCATGATGCTACCACTGAATCATTCTCCGGGGCGATTCTGGTCTCGACCCATACTGTGACATTGCGCCTCAACTCTTAGCTGACTTTGACCCTAGCAATGCTAGAAGGGAGGCCAACTCAGTCCCACTATAGGCCACAGTCTGCTGCTACGATACAACCGAGATAAAACCTCCCATCCACTGCCAAGGCAGCTCACCAGAAGAGCCTAATCAAAATTCAGCTAGTCAAACCCTGCCAGGATAGGAAGTGGAGTGGAAAAATTTATTAAATTTGACTATAAATCGGGACTGATAAATGTTCCTGATCGACAGAGGCGGTGTAAATAAGCAATAGCTAAATCAATCACTTTTAGCGATTCCGATTATGCCACAGGCGACGCGACCCCCAGCATTGCCGGTGACCAAGCTCAACTCATGGCCGCCCAAACCCAAGTCATCCGGATCAACGTGGACCTAGAAAAAGAGGACGAAGATTTATCATCAGAAAGGGAGACAAAAGATGTAAAAAATGCTAACACTCCTAGCTTCACAAACATTCAAAGCATCCCACGCCATCAACTGCAACATCTGCAGACTTTTTAGATAGCTATTCACATCCTTTACCCATTTCTTTAAGTGGTCTGCCTTCTGGACGCGTGAAATTCTTACAATGTTCGAGCCCCTTTTGCCTCACTCATTAAACCATCAATGCAATCCTCCTGAAGCAAGCAGTACATGGTCAGTGGATAAGGACTGAAATGAAAAAAGTGCAGGTTGGGCTGAATGCTTCCACATGGAAAAGTGCTAAGAAGTAAAGCTCGGATGGGTACGGTTCTAGTTAGAATATCTAGATTGAAGGCAGAATTAAAGATCAACAAACCCATCATGACCTTATGATTCCAGTAGCAAGAACTAAATGACATGTTTAGCAACTAAAGCTCTAGATAAGTGTGACTATTTCCAGAAGTAGGGTGGATATTGATCTACCAGTGTCCTAAAGGTTCAGCACACCGGGGTCGTGCTTTCAGAACGGAACGTTTTTAAAGTAGGGTGACTATTTTATGCAGCCATAGATGCGTCGGGCAACAAATAGGCAACCATTTGGAAAAATAATTGTTTTGCTTAAAAAATATCAATGATGCTCTAAAAGGTCAGCTAAGAAAAAAAGGAATAAAGGTAGGCTTTTTGGGAAAAACCGGAGCACTAGTCACTATTAACAAACATTTTAGTTAATAAATAAGTTCAAATCTATTGCTTTGAACGAAGAGAAGTATGGCACTACACTCAGCGTAAAAACCTCACTCAGTTCCATGCATGTCTTCAGAACCCACAGTAGTTTACCTCAAGGAGGCTGCGAGTTTGAGGCGACCTTGAACGAGAAAAATTACGGAAGAATAAAGGTGCAAAAAAGTTAGCAATAGATCTTGGTCACAGATAAATTGGCGATCGCCGATCCAGCTAGCGTCAGCCGGTACGACACCTGAGGAAGGAAGCTTCGTGGCCCAATTGGATTTCGACACAAGATTTACCAATGTACAATTAAGGCGAACATTAGCCACATTATGAAAAATAAGAAATGAAAACCAAAGCGATTTAAGGAGTTCTCCTTTAAATGCAGATAGGGAGAGGAGAAACAATGTAGAATTTATGTGGTTTGACTAGTTTAACCCTCTCCCCACTAAATGAACAAAAATTTTCATCAAAAGCGAAAATGCAGATATCGAGCGCACTATAGCACATACCACAAGGGATCTTCCAATAATCGAGTGTTCACCATTGAGAGAAATCACCCTGTCCGTAAGGTCAAGCGTTGCCTTACCATCGGTACCAGCAACGACGTTACCAAGATCCCCAACATGCCGCTCAGCTGCATCAGGAGCACCATGGTTTTTGCCGTGGGGGTTAAAGTGAGCACCGGCAGATGTACAGCCATCTGTTGTGTCTCCAAATTCGTGCACATGAAATCCGTGCTTTCCAGGCTTCAACCCCTCGAATTCAGCATGTACTTTGACGGTTTCGCCCTGAAGATAAGATCGAAAAGCCATGAAAAAGTTACAAACCACATCTAGGCTAATAAGTTCAAGGGAAAATGACATTTCAATGGAAAGCATAGAAAAGAAAGTACACAACCACTACCGATGCTTATGTTGACGAGATTATACTGAGTAAGTTAAATCCAATAACAAAGAAATGGGACTAGCAACAAAGCTGTTGTAGACGCGATACACCACCGAGTACCCCAGCAATAAGCATATCAAAACCGATGCTTTTATCAATGATAAACCCAAAATACTTACAACTTGGGAGAAATGAACGACTCCCTTAACCCCCGGCTCGCCTCGCATAACACAAACAGCCCTCATGATGAACCCGAAGAGAAATGCGCACTTTCAAAACCCACTCTTTGCTACTGATTAAAACAAAATACAAATGATGCCGACATGGAAAAATATAATCAAAACACTATGCATTATTCACTAAAACAGTCCAAAAATCAGCTACTGCTATAAAATGCTTTATGGAAACTTCTCGCCTGAGACTTTTTTCTAAATTAGAAGTCGATGTTTGAATAAGTTAAAAAATATTGACTACACGTGTTAACAAACCACAAGCATCCTGCGGCCCTTGGAGAGAGTTAGCCAAAGGTAGATCTCCGATAGTTTAGTAACGCGGCTGTGAACAGAATGGTGTCCATTGGTTAATCTGGATGCTATTTGTGGCATCCCGAGACATCCCATCGGGTAGAAGAGGCAGTAAGTGGAGCTGAACACATGTATTTTAATGAGAACGAAGCAAGTGTGCTTAAGCATGGTCCGAAGGCTAGCTCAGACGGATATAAAAGTCATCGCCAGGCATCAGGCGGTCACAAATGCAGAGTCTTTCACAGTCCTCTTGCACCAGTATTACATCATATTCAGTACCGCAATAAAGTATTTACGAGTAGCTGCGCTAGCATTCCGCCACCACGAGGCAATAGATTACATTTGACACTCTGAGATGACTTAGATAGGTTTGGGGTTACTTTTAGTCTAAGGTCCGGACCGCGTATATCTGATGGCTATCAATTGTTTTAAGGCCCGGAAGTTAGAACATTGTTCCAAAGCAGATGTTAAACAAGGAAGGCGCAATCGGACACAGTCCCGTACATAAGCATATCCAGGTTTTGCAAAGGTAATTCTAACGTTTAACTCTTTCAGATGGTTCATAGTGCTGTCGCTTTAGATTGCATGTGAAAAACGAGCTCAAGATAAAGCCAAATGTAAACACCCATTTAGTCCTTTTGGTTGAAAGGATTAACTGAAATTCCCAGCTTCTATTACATGCTATTTCTCTGCACAGTAGATGTACGTCACACACTATAGATAACGGAATGGAAGTCTTTGAATTAAGTCGGGCTACCTTTCCGCTTCCACTAGTGTAACGTGTGATGCTTTGTTTATGTGACTACCTGACGTTCGGCGGTGGCTTTGGAATTTGTATCTAGCTCCATTTATTGCCTTCTTCCACTCGTTTGGGAGTCTCGGTGTAGCGTCCCGAGGCTTCCTAGCCAATATAAAATGTCAGTAAATGCAGCTAGATACATGTCCTTCGAAGATGACAGGGCAAATGGGCCTGGGCATGTACCGAAGGCCAACCCGCGTGTACTAAGGCAAGGGAAATCCTAAAGTGACCGCTAAACGCTAGGTAGTCACATAAATAAAGCCTTACACTGCCCCTCTCTTCTTTTTAGCGACGTCCTCGGCGCTTCCCTTTGGTATACCTCCAGCGCCAGCCATCACAACATATTCGGTACTACATAAAAGCACCCGCGAGCCGACCGCGCCAATCCATAGACAACACGAGAGCAAGGAACCATACCTGATCTCATCGGCAGCTTCAACTGGATCTGGAGTTTCGTTCCGTCTGACAACCAGATTAGAGGTCGCATACACCTGATGACCAAGGACAAGACAAATAACAAAGTCATAGCCAAAATCCATTGTAATGTATACCAAAGTGTTTAAGTTGACATTTATGAGAAGGAGGCGGGAAGCATTTTGGAACGCGAATCCCGTTCTTCCTGTAATCAATGCCTAATAAATCTACTGCAACTAACCCTCTCTTGAAGTCTGTGATTCAAGAGCATGAGGCTAGGCTGGCAGTTCCTACACGCATGAAAAAAGTGCCACATAATCTCGTCCCCTCTCCTTAAATCTGTCTATTGAGCTCAGCTTGACATATCCTCCCGCAAAATGGTAAGGGCAGGGCACTACGAGTAATGTCATGTTCTCGATCAGAACCAGTCATCCTAAACTGTGTTTACTATCTCACAACTGCCAGATAACTTTGGTGATGTTAAGAGGGGAGCGCCGTCATCTCAAAAGATCCTTAAGTGGATGCGCGAATCGGTAGGTAGATAAGATACAATCCTGAATAAACTTGTATTTAGGCCGTTAAATATCGCCTTTACTCTTAGTTGGTGAATGCCTGCTCTTTTGCTTGAAATTTGAAGGGCGAATATTGCAATAGTTGTAAGTTGTAACTAACACATCCGTTAAGCAGCCTGTTGTGAACTCTAGCTAAGGCAACTACAATTTGGAAAAATTTGTTTCATATGCCCATGGTGGAATGAACCAATGAGATTAGCCAGAGAACAACCTTGGAATTTGCTTATGTCTATATTTTGCCATCGGCATGTTTTGCATTTTACCATGACTTGTTTTCAGGTCTTTCTGAAGTGCATTTGCCGTAGTCGACTTATGATGGCACCAACTTCACAAATGCACGTCAGTGTTGTGGGAACAGGAGCTCCTGGTACTCCAAAGAGTGTTATAATATGCACAGATTCAACACGATACCTTATTAATTGTGGTGAAGGCACACAACGAATTTTAACCGAACACAAGTAATTAACTCCGTTTACTATATGTTTTGCAGATCAAAAATCTCTAAGATTCAACATGTCTTTTTTACAAGAATGTCGTGGAGGCATCTTTCTGGTCTTCTAGGGATAGCGCTGACTGTGAAAATGGCTGGCGTGAAGAAAATGCTTGTGCACGGCCCTCCTAACGTTGTATGCTCTCACTGCCCTTTTTCCATCTAGAATTTTTGCTGATTTTAATTAACACTAATTTGTTTTTAATACTCAAGATCGAGTTGATGAAAATGACACGTCACTTTGCAGATGCCTCGACAACAGAAGTTGGTAATTTTAGAATGATTTGGCCTTAATTTATGTCTACGAGTCTATGAGACAATCTCTTCCAAAATTTTCTGTTTAGCGCAAAGTAGTATCTTACAGAAACCAATGCGGAACGACGATTTCGTAATAACTGCATTTGAACTGACTGAGGAGGAATTAATCGAACCACGTGGGTTGGTGCTTTATCAAGATTTCATTTTATTCTCAAATGAGTAGAGTGATTAAGTCCCGCTCTTCCAAGTACAGGTGTCAAAGCTATTCGTGCAGGCGATCATCCCAAAAGTCATCCAGTATACGCTTACCTATTTCGAGTAAATTGCATTCTCATGCATCAGATTCGCTTACTGCTCTAGAGTCTGAAGTTAAATCGAAAACTGGATCCAGTCAAGTGTGTTGCTTGTGGCATACCAAAGTAGGTTTTGCCCTCTTCTATGTCCATACTTCCTTTAACAACGTTTCATTGTTTTACATTCCTAACTTTAACCATACTTAGAAGTTCGCTTCCAAAACTTTTTTTCTTACCTGTGAAATATTCGGCGTCCTTTAGGTGTCCATTTAGTGCGCTAGATACTGAATTGAATTTTTTCATTTAATTTACTCTTGTATGACTCACGTGTTTATTTCGTTCTCATATGTTTATAGTTGGATCCAAAAAAGTTGAAAGACATGAATAACCACGTGGACTTTCATTCATAGCCCTCTCTGCCGACACATGTATTTACGATTTATTTTATATAAGATGAATCCTCGATTAATCTCTAAAAAAATGTAGTATCCATGTTTTCACTCGAAAAATGTTATTGCTTTTACAGCGATGTTATGCGTTCCGCTAAAATACGCCAGCTTGTTGAAGGGCATCCGCTTACTCTAGATGATGGTCGTGTTGTAAGCCCATGATTTCTTTAATTTCTCATGGACTCAATCGCTCTGTGAACATTACTTTAGCGTGTTATTTTATGTAAATATTGCAGATTTCACCTGAAGAGGTTACTGATGAGCCTGCCATACCCCGAAATATACTGGGTAGGTTTTCTGGATGGCAAAGCTAACTGTAGCGTTAACAAATGTGTAAAAAGTTGGCTGACATTATAAACATTTGGAAACTTTCTATAGTTACGATTATAGATATCGTGGCGGTCTAAAATCTAAATCTATCAACCTTTTTGTAATTTGGAAACGCTTTAACCTACCTATGAAAAATAGTGTTCTTTGCTTATGAGCTTATGTATTTAGTTTAGTCATATTAATAGATTAATATCAAATATCACTAAGTCATTTTGCTATTAAGTGACTTGTACCTCTAACTCGCATACCGAACTGTTTGCTGAACCAGCTTCTAAGGTCTGACTCTAGTCTCTTGAATTCACAGTTCTCGAGTGTCCCCATGAATCCTACATTCCTCGCTTTCTTCAAGCTGATCAACTGTTCAATGCCATTGCGGCCTCCCAAGATAGTAATGAAAGCTATCGAGGTACTGTTCCAGGCATCACTCTGGCTATTCACTTTGTTCCGTCGGGACTATTCGAATCGCCTGCATACCAGACCTTTGTTTCTCGGTATGTTGATCTTCGTGATTCCATTCCCACAGAAAACTGGTTTCCAGTGCTAGGTGACGTTTATCACTTTAGCTGCACCTGATGGCTCCTCAAATTCTAATGAGTTCACTCAGAGCCGCACTGACTAATTGATTGTTGGATGCCTCAATGGACGCTTGGTTTAAAGTCGGCTTGATCAATTGGTACTGGTATTCTTCTTTGAAAACCTGCGTCCATAATAGCAGACTATTGATAGGCAGCAGACTGGTGTACTAGAAATGACTGTTGTCTTCGTAATTGAGATTCACCAATCTCCATGATCTCACTCTTTATTGAATGAATTACTTCATTGGCTTTGCCCTTTAAACCAAAGCAGTACCTCCTATGACTGCTATTGGTGCGACAGGTCTAATTGAATCTGCAAAGGATCCATATGTCGTGTGGTAATTCCGAATGCTGTTGGTAGTTTCTGAAACAGTCGACTTGCAGCTAGGTGTTGTTCCATTCTGAGGCCCTAATCCAAAACTAAACGTGTAGAGGACTCGCATTTCCATTTAGCCTGAATCAGTTTGGCCAATGTGAAAAGTCGGGTGGAGCAATGATGAATGAGATCAACAGCAATGGCGCTTCATACATCGGAGACACTGACAATGGCGATGGTCTTCATCACCTCGTCCTGGATGGTTCTGAAACCCGACGTCCCTGCCCTGCCGTGATTGGAATCTTTAGTCAATCCATCATTCTCCACACCCATTTCGATTCTCATCTTTATCCCAAGCTAATGGCTCTCAGTTCCTCTGAGGTATGCCAACTTTAAAGACGAGCCAGCCCTGTCGTGTCATTACGCTGATCATTTTGTATTGTCTGAATTTAGCCAAAACCGAACTTTTCTCACGTGAAGCCCTTCTCACAGGTAGTGTATGCTGAACCGATGATGCGCTACTTTCTGCGTGCACATACCGGATTTGACACGTACGTTGAGTTATCTCGTCTGAATATTCCATTCTCCAAAGGGTCCACGGCTGCGCATTGTAACGAAGTTACTCAAATTCTGGGGGAATCTCCCAGATTCTTATTGGAGTGTGTAGAACTAGTTTCAATTTGGGGAGAGGTGTATGGGCATACTTGAGAAAGTTTTTTTATCATCCTTAATTGCTGTGGTCCCTTGGATTAAAATAATGGTCATCGGTCTAGTTTAGTGGCCATATGAGATGATCGTGTAAATGGATCTTTGTAGTACTGTAAATGGACGTATGGATTGTCTTAAGAGTACTATATTTTGGATTTTAAGCCTTAAGTGTTGGGTCTGAATGTGCTTGGCATGTTTGAACTTCATTTGCTGGCCAATTACTTTGATAATGGATTTAATTTCCTGGCTTGATCAGCCCGCTAACCAAATGTTTGTTTGACCTGTTTTCTCCATTCGTCTGTACAAACGGGAAGCGGTACGTATTCTCATGCTAATTTTTTATCGTTATTTTCTTTAGTAGGAACTGTGTAATTTTGGATGAAAATGAGTTGCTTCAACAGGCCTTTGATCCGCTTTACGTGTCCGAGGTGGAAGCTGAGGAGGCCTTCAAGGAGATGCGCTCCAAACTCAACTCCACTATTGCCAAGAGACATGAGGGTTAGTTTCGTCATTTAAGTGGTCATGAATACGGTCCAATTATTAATGCCAGTTGGTGGCACTGTCATTTTGCGTTATTTGAACAGGTAAAAGTTTAAAGTTTGTAATGTGTATCATCAAGTGTGTGCTAATCCTGTATTGAGAATTTTGCCGTTCACCTCGACCCGTTGTCACTTCTGTCCAAATGCCAGAGATTTTGTATCCTTAACTTCATCTTGTGTTGTGTTGAAGTGCGCTGCAATACAATGACAATGATATCACTCCCTTTGTTAGACGGAGTCACTTCGTCGCTGGAGAAGTTGGAGTGGCCCGAATTTACTTTCTTGGGGACAGCTTCCTCTTCGCCCAGCAAGTATCGAAACATCAGCGCCATTCTCGTACGCCTCAGGTGCCCTTACACTACTACCGTTCTGTCTTCTGTGAAATAGGCCAGCCCATTAATTGTCATCATTCCTGATAGCTTTTTAATTATTCTTTAACCTGTTATCACTTGCCAGTTCAAATGCGACCGAGTTCGCCGTGAAATAATCCATCTCCTCCTTGCCTTTTACCATTCTTTTACTGCTTTTTCCTTTACGGCAGTCCAAACGAGTGCATCCTTCTGGACTGTGGAGAGGGCACTTTAAATCAACTTTATGCTCTTTATGGAGTCGAGAGAACCCATCACCTTTTGCGTGGTCTTCGCCTTATTCTTATCACCCATATGCATGCTGATCACCATGGCGTAAGTGGACACCCGAATTTATTAGGTTGTTGAGCACGAATTTGATGCTTTGGTGTGAAGCTACTGTAAAGTTTTGTTTAGGAATGTGGAAGTGAAGCTAGTTAACTCTCCTACTCTATACTTTTGCCATAAGAACGCATAATTTTTCAACGTTATGTGATTGCATTAAAGGGAGGGGAGGATTGAGTTTTGACACGCACAACCCAAATCACAAAACGTTTGACAATCTACACACGACACAAAAGCTATGGATGATAGCTTTTTTCCACCATTAATTATGACCGTATATAAGTTGGAGAGAGTATGAGCAGATTGCAACACCCGAACTTGGAGACGGTTGTGTGGCAATGAAGCATTCAGTTGCAGTAGAGTACTCGTGCGTTGTCCAAGTTTTTAAGACAGGCAGGTTCTTGGCTGTAATTGGTACTTTCCCCATCCCTCAACGAAGGAATTCTTATGTCAGCGTATTGAGAGTCTTTTGGTGAATGCAAACAGTCGAGAGTCAAAATGCTGTCTCTACTAGAAGCAAGTCCTTTCATACAAGCGGTGAATGCAATATTCCACGAGGATGCAAAATTAAAAATTCTGCGTTTCATCACAGTCGATTCGGATTGTCCTAAGATGATTCAGCTGTGCTGAAAAGTACTTCTTTGTTGAAGCTTTGCTTTTTTGAATGTCGAACGTCCCTCATAATATTCCAGGAGATTATAGGAGCCGCCTTATTGTGTATGAAATTTCATTCTACGACAATTTCTACTTTTAAAAGAGCATTTTGCATTATAACATCAGGCACTAAATTTGGGCTTGTAAACTGCTATTTTGCTAATGTCGTTGCTGGGATCATCCGTTTATCTTAAGTCATTGTTTGCTCGGTCAACACAAACACGCTCAACTTTTTTCTTGACGGTCAAGTTTATCTTTCATACTATACCTTACTCCAGGGCGTGATGACAATAGCGCGGAAGGTTTACGATCTCACTCGAGATTCTACGGGTCTGTCGGTGCTTGCACCACCACCCTTCTGGAAGTGGGTCGACAGCTACACTGACCTCTTCCAGTCCACCACTACTACCGGTAAGCACGTGCGTCTCTTCGCCATCAACCGCGTTTACGAGGCCCCGCCCCAATCCGGCATGGCATCCGCCAGTAGATGTACTCCTGACTTGATTTCACCTCCTGCCCTCAGTCCTATATGGCAGTTGCGGACTTCAGACGATTCCGTAACTAGTGCATGGAAGCAACTGCTCTCTCAGTTGGAACTCAAGGTCCGCTTTGCTTTTGAAATGGGGTGTGTGTAGGGGGGGGGGAGGTATTCACAATGTTCTAGGGATAATTGTAAGCTTTGGCTCGTTCAACTTCTTTCCCTGCTTCTCTCTTTAAAATAAAGTAGTGGGTACTTTTTTATTTGGTTGAAATTTGTATGTCCCAATTTTAACTGTCCTACTTTGAATAATTTCAAATATCGGTCAGATTGAACCTGTTAAAGTGCCGCATACGGGCACTTCGTGGGCCTTTGTGCTATCTCAAGATAAAGAAGGACTAGAGGACGCGAGGCCCTGGAAAGTGGTTTACTCGGGAGACACTCCACGCTGCTCGCATCTGGCCGAAGCAGGGCGCGATTGTGATCTCCTCATTCATGAGGCCACAATGGGCGACGGCTACGAGGAGCAAGCTATTGCCGCGCATCACAGGTGCGTGCTTAAGCTTTAAAATTATTATTTGACTATGGCATAGTGCACCACATTTCTCCTTTTCCCTGGAAAAATGGGACCTGGTTCCCGAAGTCATGGTCTCGATAGTTAAAGCACTAGGCTGACAAGTGCACAATCGGCTACTCTAAGAGATGTTATTTCCCTTCAATTGTAGCACAACTAGTGACGCAATCACGATTGGTCGGTTGATGCGCGCAAAGTTTATCCTTCTCACTCATTTCAGTCAGCGCTTTGCACGCCTGCCTAGCTTTGACACCTTCCAGGAGGACATCGCACCTGCCTTCGACTTCTTGCAGGTGAGCTCCTCTCCTCTCAAGGTCGATTAATGCCACGTTGTCTGCATCAGTTGCAAGGTAAAAGTGCTTTTGTAAGTCGCATTAATAGATGACTCAAATGAGAGGGCCTCGGACAATATAATCGAAAGGGAAAGTGATAGATTAAAATTCAATTGCATCGATGCATAGTACGACAATGATAAGTTTCGTTGCTTATTTGCAGCAACTTTATTATAACCTGAGGTGTTACTCCTAAAGGAGTGGAGATTCCATGCTTATGGTTTGCGTCCTATCAGGGCTTTAATTGAGTGGTCAATGGAAATTATGCTCAAATTTCTACTGACTGAGGATAGAACTTATTCGAAGGCGGTCTGGTGACATTAAACCAGGTTAGTGACTGGTCAGCCAACATTTCTACCTTCCTCTGATAACCGCTTATCCATCTCTCTTGGATCGGGAACACTCCTCTAGGCTGTTTGAGAATCCAACGTCAGTTGAAATCTGTAGGAAATTTAATTGAAACGTTTACCAAGCCTACGGGCGGCTCCATCAATCGGATTTGGAATCTCTCTATATTCTTCTTGTGTTTACCTCCATTTGGTGGCGCGGTGTTGACAAATTCCATTAATATATGATTCTTAGCATTTCTCCATTTGACGTGAAGGTGGTTGGGTCTGCTTCACTACAATGTCACAATTGAAATGTCCGAAGTGTTTGTAGGTATTGCATTATAGCATGAGAATGTAAGCTTAGCTACAAAGCTTTCTACTCCCATTCTTAAATTTGAGTCATTGAACCAGAAGGTGGTGTCTCTTTGATACTGAAATTCTTTCCGAATTAATTTCGCTTCTATCCCACGGAAGTATAAGCCTACGAAAAATCAAACTCCTCGTAACCCGAACCACAATCCAGAAAACTCGAATGCTTGAGGGCTTAATTTCTTATCGCTATCTAAGCTCATCGTTGAGAATATCTGGTCCTTTGAAGTCACAACCGCTTTTCGGACATCATGCACTGGTATGCACAGTACCTTAAAACCGACCTGAAATACTTTCTGACTCCTTTTTTGCTTCATTCCTCTGAACTCATCCCCAAGAATTTCAACCTTTAACCATGAAATGAGGGATTTTTTTTGCATCACATAGACGTGAACTAAGTTTCGTTTATGCTGTGCACAGGTGAGGTTGGGAGAACTGTGGAAGTTGCCCTACTTTCTGCCATTCTACAAGTACGCCTTCGCTCGTCACTGGGATCTGTTACAGACTCGGGCAGACGCTAATCAGCATCGAAGGGCCCGTGCCGAGGGAGCCCTCGAGGCGACTCGCTCTATTGTTTCTCAGGCTCTCGGGGAAGTTGGGCTCCCCAGGAGTACACAGTGAGAATAAAGGACATACCGCTCTCACCCCCTCTCCCTTGTATTCATAAGCTCTCCCCTTTTTTGGCGTATTGGTTGGTAGATATGTAATGCCTTTTCAGACATTGGAGTCGGGTTAATGGAATTTTTGGAATCTCGAAACTTTTCATCAGACTGTACTCCACCTTTAATAGCCTCTCTCTGTGAAGTGCGTTGCGCTGATGACAAGCGATTTTACAATTTTGGCGTTTTGTGCACCCCCGAGCATTCCGGAAGCAGTTCCGATTACCACTTGTTGATTTCATCCTGCTTAGCCAATGCCTTACTGAAACGTGCCTATTCACTTCAGAATCGTTTAAAAGATATAAGTGGTCTCCTAATTTTTCTGATCGTTAACGATAAGGCTTGCGCTTACCCATTAATAATTCATTGTGAATCCGTCAGCAGTAGAATCGCTACTGAAGCTTCAAATGGGATCGACACAGGCGATGACTGTGACTTTGTCTGTTTGGGGCGTCATTTTACTGACTAATATTCTGCAGCTCAAAATCATCTAAGTCAGGTTGGGTAGTTCTTGAGTCTGTGCTAGGCAGCATTTCGATGATTCTATGCTGTCCACCCACAGTTCATGCCTCAACATCCAACAACTTGAATCTCGGTCAAGTCTCGCCCTCACGAGCAACACCAGCGACCAAAAACATAGATGTCAGTTTTACTCTCCCCTTCAATTATCTCAACTCGAGTACCAACAATCAAGGTGAGCAGCGTTAGATCAAATGCCAGGAAGCTAGCTGCGCACGAAGCCTTCCTGCTTTCCATTACGAAGTACATGCTCGCCTAGTGTACAACTCCGGCTCGATGGACGTCCAGTACAACAACAAATGGATACAGTCTCGACCATTGTTTTTTGTGAAAAGCATGGCGCCGATTTGGTCAATCATACCGCCGTAAACTATCAGTTTTAGTGGCAGTCAACTGCAGCTCCTTGGACGACTCACTCTGTACACCCTTCTGTGGTGCACCAAATCCTGCAACGTATTTGTCGTCTTGAATAGTTCGATTAACTGAATCTGGAACGAGCAGAAGATAAGACTAAACTCTGACTTATCCGGGTGTAGCACTGAGAAAAACGATAATTGTGCCCAAGGAATGTGACTATAGAATGAGGGAAAAGGGTAATGGGCGAATTGCTACCACTAGTTATAATGGTTATTGCATATCTGAACTTGCGCTCCGAAACACCAGGTTGTTGCATCACATATTTTTGGCACTCTTTTCTTAAGGTCAAGTTGTTTATTGACGGTTCAACGAAAGAGATCAGACATTTGATGAAGGAATGTTATCAGAATAAGGTAACGCTTCGTTCCACTGCATAATATCATCGTTTATTCAGTCATCAAAGGACAAATTCTTGAAGATAATGTAAAGTTATTGAACATTCACTGCCACTTTAAAGCTTATTTTGCTTCGCTCACTTTTTGAATGCGCAATAGTTCAAAGTCCACCAATTTTGCTGCGCGTAGACAAAATACCTTCGATGTAAGTTGAATGCAGTAATATAAGAACACTACTGAAATGAAACAACATCCTACTTATATTTGTAAGTAGCAAAAAACTTTAGTGTCCGAATTTACTACTGGCTAATTCACCATGGGCACAAGCGACCGTAAATTGCTTACTTCTTCAAAATTACTTATAGATTCGAATAGGATTCCTCCTTTTGTAAACTGCGGTTAACCTTAGAGTAATCAGTGATACTCGATGGGCCGTGGCTACGACTTCTTTCAAATCTCAAGTTGTGCTTGAAGTGACACATGTAGAATGCTTAACTATTTTAACTCATGTGTAATGCAATGAACGTCTATCTAAGACTCAGTCTCCCAGGCACGAACACGTGTTTCTATGCATTCGGAATAACTACTTGCAAATTGTCACTAAGACGAAAATATTTGTATTGCTCCAGTTATAAACTCCCAAGTGAAATGGATAGAATGTCTTGAACTCCGACCAAACAAATTGTTTTATTAAGGGATGAAAAATTCCGTTGCGAGCCCTGCCGCCACGAGGAGAAAAATAAAAAACAGAAAGAGATGTGCCAATGCACGAATATGAACTTGCAGCAAAAATGTCCCTATAGTGAGAATTTTGTGTCCATTCTGCATGAACTTTTCTTATTTGAAGGGGACTGTCTCAATATTGTTAAAGTAATCCAGTTTCGCTTTGCAGCCGATGAGATTAAGGATAATGAATGCAAATGCCACCCAGAACCATCAAATGAAAAATGAAACTTCGGCACAAGAAAGTGAGTCACAAAGTTGATGTTAGGTGGTGAAAAAGGCATTGTCATAGACCTTGACACTGTGGCCTCCCTTGCTGTCATAGCATGTGCGTGTGTGTTTTTTGTCTTACGACTGGAACCCGCCTCCTCCTCTGCCTCCTCTCTTTTCCATCCTCGCCTTCTCCATCCTCTCCCCACGTCGTTTGATATCAATGGCCAGATAAAAAGTGGCATGCCATAATGCCGGCAGGCATCTCGTTCCTTCGTGGAAGTGAAAGTAAACAAAACAGCTTGAAATTAATCCAACCAACTCGGTCCTCCTACAGCACACCCTAAAAGAAGACCAGGTTCGCTTTTAGTTGACTGGATAGCGCTCCACCAAAGCGTTGCAGGAGGTGGGCAATGGAATGGATGGAGGCTAACGGTGGAAGAACAAGGGAAAGGGATTACACCATGTAATATGTCCCGACTTTCAGTCCTTCAAATCAAAAGCACTTTTTGAATGAGGCTACCTCTAGTCTGAACATCCTGCTTTTTTGCACTAATTTTATCGAATACATTCCATTCTGACAAGATTTGAGAGACAAAAAATGTAAATCCTGTGTTACAGTTCCCTATTAGCAGAAATTTCTAGAAGTGGTTTTACACTTACTGGCGTAGTGGTCAGGACTAAAGACGGCACTACCGAAGGAGTCAAAATTTCGTTTCGTTGTTGGCTGCAGTAAGCACATACGATAGCAGTACAACAGACCCGTTTTCCATTGCTGAATGCAGGACTTTGACGTTACAGCATAAGGAAGTGCTACTACAGACCCGATGGTCCATGACAGCTCCTTGCACACGAGCCCAAAAAAGACGTTTACCAATGTGGACTACTCTAACGAATGGAATGACACCGGTGGTGGTCACAAATTAGTTATAAAACGTTGATGAAATGGCATCCACATCCACACTAGTCAAAGAGCCAACATGAATAGGATTGGGTGACAGTGAAGTGAGTACAAAGCTCCAGGGAGTGACAGACGCGAGACTCAATCTCCTATAACCATCAAAAAACAGTTTTTGGGGAGATGTTTGTAAGGCTAGAATTAGACATATGAGTTGGCTAGCACAATCATACTTTCTTGAATGAAACAAACTCGCTGATCTGAGTTGTCGGCCAGGAAGGATCAATGAGGTCAAACAGCCCCCATTTCTACTTCCAAATTCTATGCGATCCTAGTCGCGGGTCGGTTTCCAATCCCATTCACTGCGTTGTGGCAGCTGGCCCAGGTGGAAGCCTATGTGGGGCGAGGAGAGAGAGGGGGCACCTGGACAATGCTCAAAGGTGGTTTTTAATCCACCGTTTTGCAATCCCTCACTATTAAGTCGCTGTGATCACGGTCCAAGTGGAGTTCGCGGACTCCTATCCAGTTCAGCAGCCGGTCTCATTCTTCTTAAAGTAGCGTGCTTTCTTTCGTATTTAAAGAAGTCAAGAGAGCAGAGCTACGAACTCTTTGCATAAAATATCGAAGACATAAGATGATGTCACCATTTCGACGCCTGAGAGTTGACATAAAACAGGTGGCTATAAAAAGGGCTTTAAAATAACCCAAAAGCTTTGGTTTTTAGGTGCAGAAATTGTGGAATGAAGGAACTTCATCGTGACTCAACTAGATCAAAGAGGCATCCTCAATGGCACATTTGCCAATCATTGACACCGTTGAAGTTGCTTTAGCTCAGCGCATATGGAGGCAAACCGAAACAGTCTTCATAACCGACAATAAAATGCACAACTTCTTCCAAAGAACTGCAAGGAGGTAATCAAAAAGCGTGGATGGTGCTTCTCTGATGACCCTTACCGTTTCATCACTGGAGCATCCAAAATTCATGCAATGCTCGATGCTGTAAGATTGCATAACTGTTACGGCATCGGAGTTTGCTTGAAATAACCGCCTATTCAAAAAAAAACTAGGAAAGGAAATGACTGTCGATTCGCCGATCTCTCTCGTGCTGGTAGATGCTATCTTCGGAGAAATGCCGACTTAACAGCCTTCCGTAGTAGACATCACATTGCTTGTGCAATGGCCCACAAACACCTCTTGCACACAGTTTAGTGTAAATTTTTTTAAATAAATCCTTTAGGCGCATTTGTCGAATTGCGCTAGCACTTTTTATCGCCGCTGGTCAGCAGGGCCTCTGACCCAAGCCAGTGGGATATCAAAGCGCGTCTGTAGGCCAGCGCCCCACGGCCACCTGAGTAAAAGGGCTTCGGTCCTGCGTGAAAATGATTTTGGCTATCGTTTCTTGCTGTGGGAGAAACAATGGGCTTTAACTGAGGGCTCACTATATACTGATTAAACCAACTCTATTTTGCATTTTCGTAAGTTATCATTAAGTTTTAGCGTTTTTTTTTACTAAATGACGTGCTTATTTGTAGTTCGCGCTCAGGCCAAAGGTCATAGTGAAAACCAATTATCTGTCGACCTCAATAAAAGCGCGACCCATCTCAATTTTGTTTTCATTTTTGGGCCACGTTTCACAGCAGGGAGTCGCATTAATCGCTCCACTTGTCCTTCCCCAAGCGTTTATACACCGCGGTGTTTTTTTCGGCCAACAGTGGCAAGCCATTTCGCCGAGTGGAGGCTAACTCAGACCACGTCCACGCACCTCTGCTCGAGAAGCGGTGACTCACGTTCAGTGAAATTCTATCTGCTGAGAGGAGGGGCATTTTTGTGAAAAATTTACCAACTTTGTCAAACGGTATG